TGTTCTTCCCTTTTCCTGTTCACCCCTCCCTGTTCTTCATTCCTTCCTGTTCCCCCCCTTCTTCCTGTTCCCCCCTCCTTCCTGTTCTCCCTCCTTCCTGTTCTCCCTCTTTCACCACCACCTCCTTCAGCTCCTTCACTCCCTCACTTAAGTGTCAACAGAGGGTCTTGTCTCATCACTTGCCAAATATCCCGTTGTAGGACGATTTGATGTGTGCGTCGCCTTACCTCACAAGAACGGCTACATGTAACAGAGGGAGAGGTCTTTAGCAGAGAGAGAGAGTTTGGTGACTTGTGGGACCTCTACCAGCACCTCCTGACCAGCCACGATATTGTCCTGATGACTCCTCGGGGTTGTGGTGTGTGGTTCAGCTCAGGAGGGTCATGGTCTGTGGACGAGTGAAGGGTTGAGATGTGTGGTCTGACTGTGTACCGGGAAGGGTCCGTCAATGACTGTGTTTTATAAGCAGTACAATATGATTAAAATTTGTGTTTTATATGAGTGTACTAACCAACTATTGTTTGTTTGTATTTGTAGGTGTAGTGTGGCTGAGACGCAGACCATGCCGAGGCTAAGATAACTACGTCATCCATCACGCGGGGTGAGTGTTAGAGGTCTCATGCTTTATTGCTTACTGCTTTGTAAAATATACTGTACTCTAATGTACTGTATGCTGGACAGTATCCTGAATCACAGAGGGTCGTAACTACTGTGTATAGTTATACTGATTCACGTTATCAATAATAGTCATTTTAATTCTGTGGGTCATCAGTCGCCTGTACTTTATTTAGCCATATTCTGAATAACATAATACTCTATACTGTACTGTACTTTTAGCTTAATACTAGATAATAGAAATACTTGGTTATTGATATTGAAAAGTTTGCGTAACTGGGATGTGAATAATTCATCTGTACTTAGCCAGGACCTGAGACACAGAGGCTGGCGTGAAGTGAAAGGTTACCATTACTTATTCATTTGCTGTCCGTCAGCTTCCTTGAAACAGCAAGAGACTTACAGTTGGTTTTAACATGTTCAGTCTTCTTCCTCAACTGATAGATGCAGTACGAGTTGTGTCACCTGTACAAAACCTTCTTTGAGAAAAAATAGCACTAGTTAAAAATGAACTACTGTACCTGTACTGTACGAGCTCTTTGATTAGTGAGAAGATTAATAATAATAATAATAATAAAAATAATTAACGGTTTATTGAAAAAATTCTGCAGCCCGATGGCTGAAAATATACATTGGACATAAATGACTTATTACATACATTGGTGGTTTAACAAAAGCCTTCATTAGAGAAAGGTAAAGGAACATACAGTGAACATGCAGATTAATGTAGGTGTTGAACAGCAAACTCGTAGTGTAGTAACTCCCTCCCATATGGTGTTAGGAGGAACTCACGTGGTGTAGTAGTTCCCTCAGATGGTGTTATGAGGGGCCTCACGTGGTGTAGTAATTCCCTCACAGATGGTGTGATGAGGGACTTGACGTGGTGTAGTAATTACCTCACAGATGGTGTTATGAGGGGCCTCACGTGGTGTAGTAATTCCCTCACTGATGGTGTGATGAGGGACTTGACGTGGTGTAGTAATTCCCTCACATATGGTGTTATGAGGGACATGTGGTGTAGTAATTCCCTCACAGATGGTGTGATGAGGGACTTGACGTGGTGTAGTAATTCCCTCACATATGGTGTTATGAGGGACATGTGGTGTAGTAATTCCCTCACAGATGGTGTTATATGAGTGAGGTTTGGTCTTTGGCCTTCCTATCGTAGACGGATTAACACATCGCTGGTTGTTGTTGGGTCTCACGGGCCGTTATCACTGGGTACCTGGGACCTCACTGTGTGAAGGTTAACTTGGGTACGACTGTTACTGTTGAGTTGTTCTCACTGACTTAAGCACTGTTCACCACTGTTCACCTCTGTTTAACACTGGTTCCGTTCCTTTCCTAAATGAAATTGTAACTTCTGGCGAGAACTTGTTGATATTCCGGTGGGGAGGAGGGTTCAGGGGAGGGGGTTGGTATGGGCCAACTTAACAGTTGACCTGGCTGCTCCGACAGGAGCGCCAGGTACGTCTTGACCCTTCGGTGGTCAAGGATGTACTGTGCTGTGCTGTACTGTACTGTACTGTACTGTACTGTACTGTACTGTACTGTACAGCTGGTTCATGTTGTAACAAATACTGTACAGTATAAATTAGCTTGGAGAGGTACCGTATATACTGCACCATGACCACCTGTGTGAGAGGAGAGTTACACAAGTGTCATGTGTTGAGAGACAACACTGAACTATTAATGTTATAAGTGAGGGATTTATGTATACTGTATTTTGGCTGACAGAAGGAAGTTTTAGATGGTGTACTGTAGGTAAGTTTTCTTCCTTCCCTCTACCTCTCCTCTCTCCTTTCCTACTGCTCCTCTCTTCCTTTCTACCCCCTTTCTCTCCATCCCCCTACCCCAGCCATCTTCTCTCTCCCCCCTCCCTACCCTCTTCTCCCTCCCCCTCCCCTCTTCTCCCCCTCCCTCTTCTCCCTCCCCTCCCCTCTTCTCCCTCCCCCTCCCCCTCTTCTTCCTCCCCTCCCCTCTTCTCCCCTCCCCTCCTTCCTTCTCCTCCCCTCTCCTTCCCTCTCCCTCCCCTCCTTCCTTCTCCTCCCTCCCCCCCTCTTCTCCCTCCCTCCCTCTTCTCCTCCCCTCTCTTCTCTCCCTCCCCTCCTCCTTCTCATCCCTCCCTTCTCCCTTCCCTCCTCCTTCTCCTCTCCTCTCCTCCCCCTCCTCTCTTCTCCTCCCCCTCCTCCTCTTCTCCACCCTCCACCCTAGCTCCGGCCTATTTCTCCTCCCCTGCCTCCTTACCCCCTCTCACCCCCCATCCAAGCCTCCTTCTCCCTCCTTTCCCCCTCCCTCCTTCCCCCCCTCCCTCCTTTCCCCCCTCCCTCCTTTCCTCCCTCCCTCCTTTACCCCCTCCTCTTTCCCCCTCCTCCTTCCCCCTCCTCCTTTCCCCCCTCCCTCCTTTCCCCCCTCCACTCCTCCCCCCCTCCCCTCCCCCCCTCCTTTTCCCCCCCTCCCTCCTTTCCCCCTCCCTCCTTTCCCCCCTCCCTCCTTTCCTCCCCTTCCCCCTCCTCCTTTCCCCCCCTCCCTCCTTTCCCCCCTCCTCCTTTCCCCCCTCCTCCTTTTCCCCCCCCCTTTCCCCTCCTTTCCCCCTCCCTCCTTTCCCCCCCTCCTCCTTTCCCCCTCCCTCCTTTCCCCCCTCCCTCCTTTCCCCTCCCATCGGAAAGGTTAATGTTTACGTATTAAAGAGAATAAGTGAGGTGTTTTACTCACATTCTCGGAGTCGTGAGGTTAGGTTAGGTTAGCGTCTTGGAACTTATAAAGTGACATTTGCGTTTCTCACTAATTCTTTTCCCATAGATTATTATCGGGTCATAAATACAAACTAATGTACAGGTCGTGTTGTTGGTTTACGTCACGATCTTTGATTTTTAAACATACTAAAATGTCAATGAATGGAAAAATATTGCATAAGTGGCATCCATTAGGGAGAGGAAATTCTGTATTTGTCTTTATTTTTTCTTTCAGTTTTAGTTTTTGAGCTAGGTCAAGGTATAGTTGCCTGACCAGATCTGAATCTGTCTTGCAAATTTTGTGATTGTATTTGGATGAAAGCTTGAGGGGCGGGGCGTATGTCTAACAGATATAGTATAACTGAAAAAAATGTTGTGTGTTAATTTATGGATAATCGTTGATAAGTCTCCAAGTGAAGGTTGTAAAACTGACCATATGTAGGTAGTGCGACTACTATACTGTACCAGGAAATTTACTTTTAAGATTTTAAGCTGCTTGTGTATGTGGCCACACCTGCAGATGGGATGTTCAGTAGCAGCGAATATTGCCAGGTTGTAGCACCGACCAAGCAGGCAATTATTGACCTGTCAAGACATAGTGCAGCTCTGGCGAGGAGCAGCAGCAGCAGGACATTCACTTATCTGGGCATTGATGATTGTTATATAATACTGTACAGTTATGAGAGAAGTGAATGGCAACTAACCATTTATACGTACAAGATCTTAGGTACCATAAAAAGATATTTATTGACTTAACATGGGGAAATAGGGTAAGGTTTATTTGAAAAATATCTACAGTACAGTGGTGTTAGCATAGGGTTCGGTATCCATTCCCCACCATGGTACACCATGTTTAGACCCTGTTGAAAAATTATTATAAGTTGAGGACTAAAGTGAAATATTTTTTGGAAGGCCGGGACACTGTCGGTCACATGAAGAAAATATAACCTGCCATCCTCATTTCTGTACTGTACACGGGTTTGTGTCACCCCCCCCCAGCTTCTCCCCTCTCCCCAAGATTCCCCATCCCCCCCCCACCCAAGCTCCCTCCCCCCCAAGCTCCCACTCCCCCCTTCTGTCCCACTCCCCCTATCCTCTTCCCTCTACCTGTTATTTAATATGTATATAGATACAGTATTGGGTAAATAAGAATTTGAGCGTAAATAACGTGTGACCAGCACTATCTCCTGACTTGATACTGTACTGTCGTGTTCTTAGATATGCACTGTAAAATCATGCCGTCTTTGTAACCTACTAAAAATTTGCTTATGAAATACCAATTTTTTTTAGTGATTTAGACTGTCCAGTTGGCAAAATGCTTATTCAGTTTTCATTAATTCCGAGGATATATTGTATTATAAATGTTCCTAACTTTTGCTGTGGAACTTCTGTTTTTAAATATGTATTTAACAGCAACTGATGGGTGATTATCTGATAGCATGAGGTCGTTCCAATCCTGTGACTGCCGATAAGGAACCTTTATCATACCAGTGTGGAGATAACGCAGCCACCAGTTGTACATAATACTGTATGTTGAAGCAGTACTCGGCTTACCTCCCTTTAGTGAACAATTAAGCATAAGTGTTGTGAGAAGCAAAGTTTATCAGTGTCATATATGTGTATTTATAAAGTACTGTACTGTACTCTTATTTATGACACAAAGGTGTTGATCTACGAAAACTTACTAAAAAAGAAAGAAAATTCCTTTTTGTGAGATTGGTACAAGAAAAGTGGTTGTACTGGAGGCCATTTTTCATTGTTCTTACACTAAGGAACTGTATGATTGAAAGTGTTACAGTATTTCCTTTGAATCTTGACACTGACAGTGATTTACTTCAGCCTGAATGATGTAAAGTACTGTATGGCAAATGTTAGCTGCAAAATTCAGGGTTACAAGATGAGACATTAATCATGCTGTGTGGTTTGAGGAACTTTTAAAGTACATATTTTTAATTATGTTATGCGTAACCCTTCTTTTAGTGTAGTGTAGTGTTCTCTGGTCACCATAGAGCCAGTACAGTACTAGTATCATAAGTTACTTCTAGACTAATCAAGTTATTCTGTTTTGAAGTTCAGTTGTGTTCAAATATTTAGTCACCATTGAAGAGTTGCTCAGCGTATGTGTCTAATACTTGTCCCTACATTTACTGTATGCTACTGTACAGTATATGAAGAAAACAACAGGCTTATGTAACAGCATTTGTGTTGAATTAAGGTGATTACACTTCATATTCAGTAGAGCATTCCCTCTAGACATTCATATGATTGTTATTAGCACCAATAAGATAATTATTAACACATTATTCATATAGACTGTACTTTACAGGGTGTCAAACCATTTCAACTTTGAATCATTATGAATAATGGATAAAAACATATATTTTAATGAGATTTGTTTTATTGAAAAGAGCTTGACCTAAAGTTTATGTTCACTCACTATTATTCCACTTCAATATGAGCTGCTCCCTTTTTCTGCATTAGATTTTGTGATCCCACTCGGAAGATATGTTTATTCAAAGTTGTGCTGTAAAGGTTTTGTGCGGACACCTTCCACAGTGCAGCATATGTCTTATTGTACAGTACAGTACTTGTTCTTGTCCATTTGTGCTTACATAGTTAACTCTGTGCTTACATAATTAACTCTGTGCTTACATAAAGTTAACTCCATCTTACCCAGGCTTGTGTGTAGGATTATGCAGGACATTTAAAGTTTGTAAACTTCTTTATATGAATTCTTATACCTGTACTGTACTGTTTTAGATATTTAGATATTCCAAGCAATTCACACTTGTTTTTGTTTTTTTAATTCAAGATAGAAGTTGCCTGTGTCATGCACTTACCATTGATTAGATCTCCAGTAGTTAATTTTCTTCTTGTTTATACTGTGTGATGTTAGGCAGCATGGGCCATGACTTGAAAGAAACAACATCACCAGGAATAAGGCTGAAAGTGAGAAGCATCTGGAGGAAAGGTGCGATGTAGTACTGTACTGTATTGTATTGACTTCTTCCACTCATTATATGTACAATATTTTTACTCTGATAATGTAGCATATTTCAAATTATGGATGATTCTTGTTCAAAATTTTCCCTGAGTGATTCTACCTGCCAAAATCATGTACAGTATTGTACAGGCAGACAGACCCTGATTTATAAAACATTTATATCCCTGATAAATCTTTTATAAATAAAATATTCCCAAATACATGTACAGTACAGTATATTTGACTGCTGACTCCTGTTATAGTATACAGTAATGGGAGATAGGATCCCACAACAAAAATGCTCCCCCCCCCAAAAAAAAAAAAAACACTAAAGGTCTGTTTTTAAGGAAACTTTTGGGGGGGAAAACAATGAGATTAAACAAAACTGATACTGTAATCATAATGCTTACTGTACTGTACTGTACTGTAGTTCTGTACAGTAAATCCTGTCATAAATTTATTTGATCCATATTAAAATGTATTCTTCAGCACCAAGTTATTAACAGATGTATGGTGTAAAGCTTTTGTTCCCCACACAATTCATATCTGTACAGTACAAGTGTACTGTACTATAGTTTTTCAGAATATATGGCACTTGCTCTTCAGAAACATGGCTATTCACATCAAGGGTCTAAACTAAACTGTATACAGTATGCACACTCGTAACAAAAAGTATCGGTGCATACTGTATTGTGAACAATTTGAGACCAGTGACGATAGGTATTGGGAAAGGCGAGTTGTTCCAGCCATATGTTGGCAGCCCTGTAATCCTGCTGAGCTGCAACCGTTGATGTATGGAGATATATTTCGTCTGTCTCATTCCTCACATTTCGAATCTCGCAAATATCAATACCGTATAGAAGCACCCACATATTGATCCATTTCATAATCTCATTGTACAGTATACTGAACATTGTGTAATCTAAATGTAATACTTTACGGGCCCTTTGATAATAATTTCTGGTAGGTCGTGGCTTATTTACCAATTGTTCAACCCCCTGTCATCTGTAGCACCAGTTTTGAGGTATCGCCGAATCCATCGTGCAGCGGTGTTCCTGTGGACACCAACCCGCCGGCTAATATCTGTGACGCCGAACCCTTCGTTATGAAGGGCAATAATAGCTCCTAGTGTTCCCTCTGAGGTTTCCATGTCGTCTGGCACGTGTAGATCTCTACTGCTTCATATTGCCTCTGTTTTATACCCACGTTCACCGAGACCAAACCCTCGCTCATCATTCAGTTGACACAAAGCAACAATCTGAAAAGAGGAAACAAACACACTGATTGTCAGCCATATGGCAACACCTAGTGGAGGTGGGGGGGGGGGGTTATGAGGATACAATTACTAAACTTCCCGACATATCACAGTGTATACGTATCGTTTCGGAAGTCGTCGATCTCACCCTGCACCGATACTTTTTGGTGCGAGAGGAATCTTAAGCCAAGTCAACAATGTGTATTTGCTCGAAACAAGGCTAATAAAGTACTTGGGTTCATACAAGGAGTGTTAGTTACAAGACTAGCGAGGTCATCCTAAAACTATATCTTGCACTTGTGAGACCTCACTTGGATTACGCAGTTCAATTCTGGTCACTGTATTTCAGAATGGATATAGAATCCTTGGAAAGAATTCAGAGGAGAATGACAAGGGTAATCCCGGGCATTAGGAACCTTGAGTACAGAGGCAGGTTAAAGCATCTTAATTTGCACTACCTCGAGAGATGTAGAGTGAGGGGGCGATATGATAGATGTGTATAAATGGAAGTCAGGGCTAAACAAAGGGGATATTGCAAAGGTACTCAAACTATCCAACCAGGAGCGAACTCGTAACAATGGTTTTAAATTAGACAAATTTAGATTTAGGCGCGAAATAGGTAAACACTGGTTTGGTAACAGAGTAGTGGATGAATGGAACAAGTTACCAAATATCATCATTAACTCGAATACGCTGGATAGCTTCAAACATAGGTTGGATGCTTATATGAGCAATAGGGGTTGGGTATAAATGGGACTGCCCAGTATGGGCCAATAGGCCCGCTGCAGTTTCCTCCATTCTTATGTTCTTATGAGTGTACAGTACTGTACTATACTGCCCAGATTCAGTATAGGACACTCCCAGATGTATTTTTCAGCACCTCACATCTTGTGACGATTGAAAAAATAGCAAAATTATTATTTTATTTTATATTTTTTTTTCATAACCTGAGGGGTATTCATTCAAATAAAGCACAGGATAAAGGTAAAGAAATTGTACCTTAAGAAATTTGTAAATGGGGCATTATTTAATCAGGGTCTGTCTGCACTGTACTGTACTGTAGTCTGAACCTAAAGATACTTTTTGAATTGTTTGTGATTCTGTTTACTGTATATAGTATACAGTACTGTACCGGTATACTATAAGAAAAAAATATTTACAGTGTTTATCTCCCTCATGTTGAAGGCAAGAAAGAAAGGGATCAGTTCACAAAACATAGTTACAAACATGCCAGAAATCAGTAAAAAAACAAACAATGGAAACAGAATTGTGGATGAGTGGGGCAAATTACTGTACCACACATCATCATCAACCCAGATTCATTGGGAAGCTTCAAGTATAGGTTGGACAGATATAGGAGTGATAAGGGTTGTGTGTGAACAGGGATGCCTGGTATGGCCTGGGCCAGTAGGCTCGCTGTAGTTTTCTTCATTCGTATGTTCTTTAGGCTGACAAAAACTAATAGAGAGAGATGAGGTGTGGTTGTGTATGTATTAAGTGGCTCAGAAAAGTGTGAACCTCAGCCTAGCACACATATACAAAGTAAGTGTAATGTAAAAAAGATGGTGGTGAGGTAAAGGCAATTCTATACAGTACTGTACATGGAATAAGTGTACAGTACATAGACTTATCATTATTATCGAACAGCACAAGTGAGCATGGTATTGGCATCACTAAAGTATATTGTACTGTATTGTAATTTATACACTTATACTATATGGTACAGTATATCAGCAGGTAAGTAAGAGGGCACCCAGCCAACACTACTGCATATGTCATACTGTACAGTACTTTTAAAATGTATCTTGTGTTGAGAATGTGCTAACAATATTTTTTCCATAGGCACGATGGTTGTGAGTCGGGTGAGCTTGGCCTTCTCTGAGACACTTCACCTCACCAAACATGTAGCCCACGTGTGTCTCTTCATCACAGTGGTGCTACTGTTTGAAGTGGGAGCTGGGGGCCTGTGGGGGGACCCTCCCACTTCTGCATCATATCCACCTCTAGTCACCCTTCTCTTTCAGCTCCTCAGACTGCTGCCTCTACTGGCACTGCCACAGGTATTGAACAAATATTGAGAGACAAAAACACACTTTGTTAGCCATCTGTAAGAGTGATCAGACACCACTGCTTTAATTGCATTGTCTGGTCGCACAGGTGGTTTTAATAGTTGCACAACCTAAAAACATTTTAGCTCTTTTAGTTTACACTTAAAAACATTACTTTAGTTACAGAAACTTTATGGTCATGTGGAAACCAGATAGGACTAAAAATAGGCATACAAGTATTTTAATTTGTTTGTCAAATAAATTTGTAGTAAATATGGAGGAATAATAGGTACTGTATGTCTTAAGATGTTTGGAGATGGTCATATGATCTGGTATACAGTATAGTGTGAATTGGGAGGTCATGTACTGTATGAAGGAAAGGCTTAACCCTTAAGCCCCGGGTTAGGGTGCTGCTGGCAGTAACACAACACGGGGGGGGGGGGATAAATCGAGAAAAAGGCAGACGTTCTGGAACGTCACCCGAGGCCTAAGGGTTAAGGTCAGGTACTGTATGTGTTCCTGGAAAGAGCAACAATGTAATGTTAAATGAAAATTACTATAGACCCAGTGGTATGAATGGGGGATACACATCCAGAGTATATTGCTAGTTACAATTTTCCAAGAAATTTTTTTTGTAGATACTGTACAGAACTGTAACTGTACATCAAATTATAAATTGAAATAATGATGTATCAATACTGTACTATACTGAATTGTTTAGAGTAAGATAACATTTGTCCTAGCTTACATAATTATACCCTGTACTGTACAGTACAGTACTGTATTTATAATTAATTAAATAATTTATTATCCTTCTTACCACATTTTATGGAAATTGAACAATCTCAACAGATAGTACAGTACTACTGTATTTTGTTGAATAACAACAAAGATTTTCATAGAACATTACGATAAATTTTACCTGCTACATACAGTACTACACTTATCATTTTTATATTATCAGAATTTTCTTCTTTTTGCAGGCTGTTTTTAATCTTTTGGGTCTAATATGCTTTAATGCCTTCCCCGAACGTGCCAAGTTGAAGGGCTCACCTCTTCTGGCACCTTTCCTCTGCCTCCGAGTGGTAACCCGAGGAGACTACCCAGATCTCGTCAGGCAAAATGTCAACCGTAATCTAACTACTTGCCTGCGGGTTGGCCTTGAAAAGTTCATGATAGAGGTTGTCACAGACAAAAAGATTGATTTACCAGAAAACCAAAGGGTTAGACAGGTGTGTACAATGCTGTACTGTACTCTGAATGAAACAGTCCAATCACATGATTAAGAATAAACATACTCTAATCATTTGGTATCCTATGAGTCATTAATAAAGGGATTTTACATATAAATTGTGGTGGAAATTCAAGTATGTTTAGAATATATGTTGTATACTGTATGTATTCAACATACCATACCTAATTTTTTTTAACAAAACTTTTTCTAACCCCAGAAATCTCATGTTATGTAGAGTTGTGCTTTTCATTCATATACGTCCACCCTGACTTTAATTACTTGTTTCTCTCACACATTACTCCTTACAATGTATTTTAATTGTTTCATTGATACAGATGTACAGAACAATACTTGAGTTTTAATATGTAGCCAATTCTCTCTCTTTCACCACCAGTGTCTTCCAGGCATTCTAAGAAATTTCAAATTTTTTCACCACCCAGATTGTAATTTTGTACTTGCTTAACCCATATTGTATTTTTGTAGTACGTACTGTCGTTGCTTCTCTCGGGCTGTACTCATTTATTCTCTAGTTTACCAGTCAGCTCCCTTAAACTATTATTTTCATCCTCTGCATACTGTACATATGAAATTTTCATGGTAACCTGCCATTCATATCACTCGCTTTTCCTCCATATCTTTGTGTTTCCTGTGTCTCGTTTATTATTATTGCTGTACAATATATCCCTTGAATTTTATAAATGTGTGTATGTTTGTGTTCATTTTTATATCTTTGAAAAGGAGAAAATAATTCATCCTTTAATTGATTTATAAGACTCATCATTGGAATTAAGAGTGAAGGACAAAGGATAGTGAGAGTGACTGCTATACTGTGACTGTTTAAACATGCTAGGATTCATTGTCTCAACGGTGTTTGAGTCAAAATGTACTGTAGTGTGGTTGAGTGTTGACAGGGAACTGAAAGTGGGAGTTGTATGTGTTGGGCATGGTGATGACCACAGAATTAACAAGAGTGGTTAGATTGATTGCAGATCCCTTGACTTTTCTCAGCCTTCAGGAGAATGACTTCCTGTGTGTATTTCTTAAGGGGTTTTTATCGGGTTGAAATTTTTAGTTTGAAAGTGTGTATGGGTGTGTAAAAAAAAAAAAAAAGATGTTTATAAGGTAAATATTGGCCTAAAAACAACTATCATGCCACCATGAACCCACAGACTTAACATAAAAAGACTCGGGGGTGTTGGAGAGAGACAACTCTCCCAAACAAATAAATTTTCAGGTGTTATTTAAGTAGGCTTGGTGCTGATTTTAAGGCTCACAGATAAACTGTTAACTAATACTTTACAAAATCCTGCAATAATATTATACCAACTTTGATCCATTGACATGACATAATGATCAACCACAGGGGAACATTGAAAAACAACTTAGTTTTACTTAAGTACTGTTCTGTAGTTGCAGAAAGGATCCATATAAATTGCAAGTAATGTACTGTATGTCCACAGAGACAAACAGCTTACTTGCTATGGTTTCCTACTCTTCAAGTTGGTGGATATGAAAGGAATAAATTGGTGGTAAATTAATATAGGAGTGTAAATTGTAAAAAAAAAAAAAAAAAAAAATTTTTGACTGGCTAATCCTGAGCACTCATTTTTAATGCAGGTCGTAGTTCCCACCAGTTATCGTCCAAAGAGTGGAGCTTTGTTTAAGGCTCGGGCACTCCAATATTGTCTTGAGGAGGACATCAATATATTGGCTGACACAGATTGGATTGTTCATCTTGATGAAGAAACCTTAGTGACTGATGCTGCAATTCGGGGGATTCTCAATTTTGTTATTGAAGGCAGACATCAGTTTGGGCAGGTTTGTATTTGTTGATTTATTAATACTATGGAATTTAGTTGCTTTACTTTAATAAGGTACAATACAGGGGGTCCCCGAGTTACGAACACCCGCCAGTACGAACGTGGTCTCATAAGGTCAATTATTTTAACAATCCGAGATAGGTACAACTGGTTCGTAGTATTAACATACAAGATCTAGTTTGCGTGACACAGCAGTGAGATGGAGCAACGGGTGGGGAGTTATACGTCACCCAGCCACGTGCCTTGAGGGAGCGTCGGTACATCTTACCCTCATCTCAGTATCATGTGTGATCAAGTGCAAACTGCTATTTTTTGCTTATTATCTTTATTTTTCTGCCCTCATCATGGCTCCCAAACCTGATGCAAGTGATAGTAGTGCATCCAAGAAAAAGAAAACAATTACAATGGAAGTGAAAGTTGATGTAATTAAACGTTCTGAAAAAGGTGAAACACCCTCGGTGATCGGTAAGGCATTAGGCTTCCTCGGTCAACGATGGGAAGAATTTTGAAAGACAGAAAATTCTTGAACATGTAAAAGAATCTACACCAATGCACTACAGTACTGTGATAACAAAACAAAGAAGTGGATTGTTAATTGAAATGAAAAGATTGTTAGTGATATTGGTGGAAAATCAGCCAGCCCAAGGTTTCAATTTAAGGGTTAAATTAAAATTTTTACTTTCCTTTACTGATTTGTCATTCAATTTCTTCTTTTCTCTTAAACTAAGTGATTCTAGATGTATAAAAGGACTTTGGCTATGATATAGTGCACATAGGGTACAGTACCAGTTACGTGTTCTGACTTCAGAACGTCCTCAGGAACGGGGACCCCCTGTAGTTTATTATTACTGTATTTTTATCATTATTACTATTACTGTACTGTAATATTATTATCATCATCATCATCATTATTGCTGTTCTGTACTATTATTGATGTCATTATTACTAATACTGTACTGTAATATTATTGATATCATCATCATCATTGCTGTTCTGTACTATTATTGATGTCATTATTACTATTACTGTACTGTAATATTATTGATATTATCATCACCATCATCATCATCATCATCATCATCATCATCATCATCATCATCATTGCTGTTCTGTACTATTATTGATGTGGTCATTATTTCTATTACTGTACTGTAATATTATTGATATCATCATCATTATTATTATTACTGTTCTGTACTATTATTGATGTCATTATTACTATTACTGTACAGTGGTCCCTCGGTTAACGAGCGCCTCGGTTAACGAGATTTCGGTTAACGATTTACCTTCCATAAGATTCTTAACTTCGGTTGACGAGCAATCCCTCGATTAACGAGTTTTTTACGAGCCAACTTCAACATGTTTTCGCTTGCATTTGGCGGTCCACCAGCTGTAGTATTAGTCCGCCAATACAGTTCTGCTATAACGCGATAATTGTGTTCTTGTAAAATATCGTGTTATAGAAAATCGCGTAATAGAAATAACAGGGCTTATGGAGAAAATAGGGTTAGGTGCAGATTACTCGAAATCGAAAAAATTTAGTAGTTAGCCTAACACAAAGGATAGCACAGTCTAAATAAATGTTACATTCATATCTAATAATGAAATCATACAGTAAATTTAACACTTTACCTTGAAAAAATATGAATGTAACTTGATGGGGGAGAAGGGTGATTTTGAGGTTGATAACATCAAGCTTCTCTTCAAGTGTTATATCCTTTCTTTTACGATAATCACCGGGAATTCTATCATCAGAATGCTTTTTGGAGATATTCCTCTTTACCATATTCACAGTTAATACCACAAAATTGGAGAAATAGTAAGCAAAAATCGCGTTATAGCAAACAAGCGATCGCGTTATACAAATATTGTTCCGAATTCATAAATCGCGTTAGAGCAAATTCGCGTTATCAAAACACGCGTTATAGCAGAACTCACTGTACAGTAATCGGTTTTAGGGCTTAAATTCCTTACTATTTTAGTAAATATCAAGAAGTTTATACTATTCAATAATTTTAAAAGTTTAATATTAACTTTTTTAGTCATTTTAACAATTATTGAACATAATTGAAGGTAAAGAAACTAGTTTCTGGCGTGCCATCCAGCCTGTTAACACACCAGACAGGCGTTAGTCTCTCTCTGTTTTCAGTGGAGGTAACATCTTGCTTGAGACTCTTCAACTAAACGCTTTTTTTCTGTGTTTCCAAGCAAATTATTGGTCATTTTGAAATATATTTTACATATTGACAATATATAATGCAGTGCAGTGTTGATTTAAAGAAAATAATCTTGAATTACACCAAGAGAACTAAAATTTTATGGGTGAAATGGTGCCATGGGGTGACTTCTCTTCCACCCCAATGCCTTCTCCTCTCCCTTCTCCTCCACCCCCATTCTAATTCCCATCATCATCATCATCATCCAGGGGCCTTCTACATACACACCTCAAAGTAAGTGAACTTTTTTACCTTTTTTGTTGAATTTAGGCAATTTTCGGTGAGCTGGAACCAATTACCCAAAAACCCATTGAAACAATGGTTTCGGTTAACGAGTTTTTCGGTTAACGAGCAACCTGCTGGAACGGATTGTGCTCGTTAACCGAGGGACCACTGTAGTGTAATATTATTGATATTATTATCATCATCATCGCCACCAGTGTTCTGTACTATTATTGATATCATTATTACTATTGCTGTACTGTAATATTATTGATGTTATCATTATCACTATTAGTATTATTATTATTTCTCTTATATTACATACATTTTGTGATAAGTTTTTCCTCGTGCAAAGTACATATAAAGTCACATTACAATGTTTGGTTAATTTATCTTTACATAATTTTTTTCATATTTTCACCATTGTTTTGCCCCATGTTTAGTGCTTGTTGTTTATTTCCAAGACCACATTTAATATTTGATTAATTTTGCATGTCTCTTTATTAAATCCTTAAATTTTACAGGGTTTGATTACATATGCAAATGAGAATATTCAGAATTGGTTCACAACCTTGGCTGACAGTTTTAGAGTCTCTGATGATATGGGCAAGCTGAGGTTCCAGTTCAAAGTGTTTCACAAACCACTCTTTGGCTGGAAAGGCTCCTATGTTGTCACACAGGTAAGCTCATCACTTACTGTTTTAATCATTACTACTTAAACCTGTTTCATAGTTGACAAGAATAACAATTGCTTTTGTGGTAGACCAAGCAAGACACCCTTTAATGTTTTCTAAACTTTGCTTATTAGAAAAATTTTACAAGTGTATTCCTGGCATTTTATTTGTGGTCAAGACAAGGCGGGTTTCTCTCCCTTTTTTTTAATAATTGAAAAGGTTAAACTGATTGCACAGTTTTACTGGATAAGGATGGTGAAGATTAAAAACCTCCCAGATGAAACAGTGCTCTTCATCTTCTCATGTTAATTTAAGCTCTTTTGCCTCATTCCTTATGGTGGCATCACACCATCAGTTAATTTTTTGGGGCTGTGTTTTTGTTGATTCAAAATAAGATTAACCTTTCCATGTTTTTGTTTACCTTTGGTTGAAAGTTGAGTAAAAGAAAATCTATATACAGTAACTGTACAAATATTATTATTTCAGACGGGTGCAGAACGACGAGTAACCTTTGATCATGGGCCAGATGGAAGTGTAGCAGAAGATAACTATTTTGGTATGGTGGCACTGAGGGATGGTTACTCATTTGATTTCATTGAAGGAGAGATGTGGGAGAAATCCCCATTTACTATCTACGACTTTCTGCAACAACGAAAGAGATGGCTTCAAGGTATTCTCTTGGTAGTCCACAGCCCCCACATACCGGTGAGTTTCTACTGTCAGTGAGAGTTGATTTGTGAAATAAATAGGCCTTTTTCAATAAATGCCATCAACTTTAGTTATTACTGTTGAAGATTTTTCTGAAATTGGAGAATGAAATGTCCCATAGGCCTAGTGGCTTATTAGGGGCAGTTAAAATGCTGTAGATTAAACCTTTTTTTCAGTACACATGGAGGCAGTGTGGCTGGCACTGCTGCACCCAACTATCTTGTTCCCCAATTGTAGAGTAAAGTCATCCAAAGCTAGGTGCCCCTGAGAAAAATCAGAAATTATGACATAAGACAAGCACTGAATTATATTGCTATATATATTATGATATTGTGCAAACTGTTCAAACTCCTCCCTTTTAAGATGGCTTACAGGGTACCCATTATTTTTTTCTCATCTCTAGCCATTCACAAACTTCCAGATCTTGACCTTATCTTGGGTAATGGCTTATTAATATATTTGAATTTGTTTTTAAATGACCATCCAAAATAATTCTTCTCATAAGTGACCTTTGTGATTAATGCACAATTTCTCTCCACAGGTGAGTACTAAGTGGCTCTTGGCAGTGTCTCTCTACTCTTGGGTCACTATGCCCCTGGCCCTGGCCTCTGTCATTTTAAGTACCATCTTCCCTGTGCCTGTGCCTGGTTTTCTTAATGTAATTGCAGCATTTGTTGGTGGTGTAAACTTTTATATGTATATATTTGGGGTGATCAAGTCATTCCGTGTTGATAGAGTTGGATTTTTACGGATGACTATGTGTATGGCCGGAGCACTTATCACAATGCCATTCAATTTTTTGGTGGAAAATATTGCTGTGATTCGTGGACTGGTTGGGAACAAACATAAATTTTACATTGTCAATAAGTTGACAGGGGCTCCTGATAAAGTTGTTAGCACTGTTTAAGTTGAGTGGATTTGCCTGCCTAGTCATGTGTACACCTTTCTCCCCCTCCCCTTACCTTACTGCAGCTGACCACCTCCACCGTTGCCTGAGAAACATTTTGAGGAGTCATCTTTATAGATTGACTGCACCTAGTAATGTTGCTCTGGCTACTGCAGGTGCTCATGACAAGAAAATACCATGGTATGAAATACTCCACCAGAACCAAGTAATTCATCTTCTAATGAATGAACACAAAGCCAAATTTGGTTATAGCTTGATGCATAATGCTTCTTGTTGATGTATATACCAGTGCATCTTATTGCATCAGTGTAAACAAATAAGCTGTGCGAGTGTAATATGGAAATCGGCATGTGTATATGTAATATCTTCAGCATTGCTGCATTGAATCTTGAAAAACCATGTGCTCATCTGTGGACTCACCAAATAATCTAGTATTTTCTAGATTTCTTGCCTTTGTGCACAAATTGTTCAAATAGCTGCTAAGGGGCAAATAAGAAAGATTTGCAAGAAAATAAGATACATGATAGAAGTGTACTCGATCAGAGATCTCCATTAACTTAGCTTGGGTATGGTCAGCTGTGCTGTATTAGAGGTGCTGCAAGTTATGTGAAATGTGCTCAGGAATGTGGTTATTTCTCAAGTCCTGTAGCACTTTTACAAATAAAGGTATGATGAGGTGGAAGAAGTGAACAGCAGTGCTATTATAACAAGCACAAATCAAAATTTAGGTGCTGAAGCAAAGTCCAAGCTGACCTTTATGATTCTCAAATGTATGCTACTTCAGCAATATAAACTCATTCTCTAACATGGAGAAAATTAAAAAAAAAATGAGGAGGAGTGCTTGTTCGCACATTTTAGACCATGTGCAATGTAGGCATGATCATGGTGGTGCATATATGCTTTGGGCATCCCCACCTTTGTGATAACATTCACTGCCAATGGAAAAAAAAGCAAGCTGATATTTAGGCCTCCAATATTTCCCAGTGCCAGGGCATTGTGTTCAGTCTATGAACTTGCCATTTTCTTTTTTTTTTACCATAGCAGATAGTTGAAAGCCTGTGTCAGCAATATAATTTATTATATTCAGTGTTGTCTGTATATTTTTGTTAAGTGTTACTTTTTTGTAGTTTCAGATAGATTTCTCATTTGCTTGTATTTAATGTTTATAGAGCAAAAGCATTTGTACAGATCATACCAACAGTTGATAAGGTGTTAGTAATTGTCAGTTGATAATAACTGATCAAGTAGCCTCTCTAAATTGTATTTGCATTAAGTCTATCATGGACATTGCAGCAAAGCTGTCTCACAGCAAGGTGATGCAGTTCATGCAACAACCATGTAGTAGTATTCCATGATCACTGTTTGCTGTAAGAAGACATCAAGATTTTATTTTTATTTTTTTTGTGTGTGTGTGCAGGGGGGGGGGGGCACTTTATAATAGTAGCCATATGCTTTTTTGTTCCTTTGGTTGTGATGTGTTCTACTTGTAAGAAATGAATTGACTATGTTATTGTATATATTATATGCTAAATTCTTCCAAGAATAATTGGAAGGTAAGGTCTTAACCAAAGACTCCCTAACATTTAGTTTATCAAGAGTAAGTAACACTTTTGCTGTTTTTGGTTAATTATATGTAATGTTCTTATTCTACACAATTGTACCTCAAGAAATTATGAGCCAGTTGAATATGTGTAAAAGCAGATTTTGTCTTATACAGTTACATGCCTTCTGAATATATACCTAGCCAGTACATTAGTATTGGTTTTAAATCATACAATAATCTATAAAAATATACAGTACTAAAATATTTGTGCAGTCTGTAATCATGAACATTTAAATTGTATTAGTAACAGAAAGAAGCTGTGTGACACTTAACTTGATAATTTTTGATGTGTCTAAACAGTGTAAGAACGTCTGTACGCAAGGATTTATTTTAGAATCACATGCATTGAAACATGCATTAGAATTTATCTAATTTACCACTAGTTATCAGAAAAATAATATTGTTTAATGTAAATGATTCATGGAAGAGTTTTCATTTTTAGTAGAATGAATTTGAGGAAGGTTCAGATTTGTTTTGTTTTTTTGAATGGCTAACCATCTTGGTGTCAGGATATTGCAAACTGCATTATCTGTTTACAAAGTTAAGATTATATCTGTAATGAATATATCCAGTAAAACTGGTATTGTGTATTACAGTAAAATCTTTCATGCACAATTGTAGTGAAATAAAGGTATGAAGATGAAACAAATACATAACATCTAAATACAAACATATATTTTTTCTAATATAAACCATTGCCCAGGTTTGAGTAGTGTTGTCTCCCTCTGTATGAGAATCAGTTGGCTAGTGTGGTGCCTACTGTACACATCATATCAGATAATGCATGACACAAATATGCTTGGCTATAACACAAAGTCTATGAAAGCAGAAACCAAAACAAATGTATATGGTTTAATTGTACATTGTACAGAAAGTTTTTAATATAGGTTGGTGCATTTACTGTAGGGTATAAGTGAGAAAAGCCATGCCACGCATTTTTATTTGATCTTCACTAAGATATCCACCACAGAATTTACAGTAAAACATGTTCTCATCCCATGCATGTGCTTAGCACTCTTTGTTATTTCTCCAGAACAGCTGCCTCATCTATATGGCCGCAGATTTGCATGTAATGCCATCTTGTTCAACAGTTGATTATCATTCACAAAATACTCTTAAGGTAATCTTAAGCAATTTTTTTTAAATTCATGACTATAAATTATGAGTGAGAGTAATGTTGTAACAAATGGTAAATCTTCATAACTGTGATTTGTATTGGGAACACAAAATCATCTGTGGCCTCTTCAGCTGGTAATTGGTAAATTGTTAGATGCCATTTCTTCACATTGTTTATTCCACAGTATTCAGCTAGCGATAAGACCAGAGTTATTATATTGTCCACAATTTATTCTTGCCATGTTATGATTTTAAAGCAGCAGTAAATTTAGTCCCTATTCTAAATATAAGTAATTATTTCAGTAAAATTCAAAGCCAGAATTCCTTGTAAATATATAATGTACAGGTGTACACCTTGACTTTTTCCTCTACCTCCACCTATGTATTCTACATTCTTTTTACTAATATTTCCTGTATGGCCATACCACTATGGCACACCCAGATTAACTGTCTGTCTGACATGGGCTTCTTATTATTTGAATCCTATTTGCTCTACATATTACTCTCAAAAACATCTTTCCTGTCACTTTTTCCTTTATATCCAAGAATCCACTCTTCACTCCCGTTTAGTTTTGATGGCTCAACAATTCCTCTATACATATCCAACATTGCAATTGTTGATACAGTTCCCTCTGCTACTCTTATGGTCATGTCCTTTCTTGGCTAGCAATTACAGTATATTTGTTCTTTGGCATTTTCACCTTGTTCATTTTCCTCCAAAAAGGCTTCCGTTTCTTTTTAAAAACCATTAACAGCCCTTTCGCCATCATTTGTTTACCCTTTGCAGTTTTTGACCATTTTCATTACTCCCCTATATACAGTAAGATCTCATATTTCGCGAGCACTACCTAATGTAACCAAGTCTTAAATTTGGCGTAAAATATCGTGAGTTTCTCGAGATCCAGCAAGTTGAATGCTGGCCACCGTCTTGAATGATGTCACAGCCCTCATACCAGTTACAGTCATTGCGTCTATATATATATATATATATATATATATATATATATATATATATATATATATATATATATATATATATATATATATATATATATATATATATATATATATATATATATATATATATATATATATATATATATATATATATTCCTCAATTCATAGTATTCACAGTAAAGAAAATTTATAATAACAAATATAAAATAATCATAATAACAGCAGCACTGTAATAATAAAGAACCACAAATAAATACAAAAATTAAAAAAAATAGATAAAAAGTAAGAAACAATACAGTGGTCCCTCGGTCAACGAGCACAATCCGTTTTAGTAGGTTGCTCGTTAAGTGAAAAACTCGTTAACCGAAACCATTGTTTCAATGGGTTTTTGGGTAATTGGTTCCGGCTCACCGAAAATTGCCTAAATTCAACAAAAAAAGGTAGAAAAGTACACTTACTTTGAGGTGTGTATGTAGTAGGCTCCTGGATGATGAAGGGAATTAGAATGGGGGTGGAGGAGAAAGGAGAAGAGAAGGCATTGGGGTGGAAGAGAAGTCACCCCATGGCCCCATTTCACCCATAAAATTTTAGTTCTCTTGGTGTAATTCAAGATTATTTTCTTTAAATCAACACTGCACTGCATTATATATTGTCAATATGTAAAATAAATTTCAAATTGACCAATAATTTGCTTGGAAACACAGAAAAAAAGCATTTAGTTGAAGAGTCTCAAGCAAGATGTTACCTCCACTGAAAAGACACAAAGACTGACGCCTGTATGCTGTGTTGGCAGGCTGGATGGCGTGCCACAAACTAGTTTCTTTACCTTCAATTATGTTCAATAATTGTTAAAATGACTAAAAAAATTTATATTAAACTTTTAAAATTATTGAATAGTATAAACTTCTTGATATTTACTAAAAGGGTAAGGAATTTAAGCCCTAGAACCGATTACTGTATTGGCGGACTAATTCTACAGCTGGTGGACCGCCAAATGCAAGCTAAAACATGTGGAGGTCGGCTCGTAAGAAACTCGTTAATCGAGGGATTGCTCGTTAATCGAAGTTAAGAATCTTATGGAAGGTAACTCGTTAACCGAGGGACCACTGTATATATGTTGTGTTGTCAATAGTAAGAGAAACAATTGAGACCCTGCAATTGTGTGTAAATGAGGCAGAAAGTCAGATGAGAAACCTGGAACTTGGTCACAATTTTGGTGATGTGTTCCATAACCTAAAATGAAAATGTTCCAGACCCATTTTCAAGAAAAATAAACTGTAAAACAAATAAATATAATATTATTTTAAAATGGTATATAAAGCAAGTGTACAGTACAGTGTACTTAACAATAAAAGCAGATACTGTACATCAACTTGGGTAGATGAGATGATGGAGGTGGTGGTAGAGGTTTTACAGAGTGGGTGATGGTGTTGGAATGACACCTGCAGAGTCATCAGGGTTGGAATCCATATCAGGGTGTATGACATCTCGCATAAGGCTGAATTTTGCTCACATTAATTGAATTCCTGGTAGGAATAGGGTCTTTGCATACAAGTGAACTTGCATATATCGAGGACTTCCTGTATATAAAATGTTACTGAAAAATGACCATAATACATTGAGGTTGTTTGGAAAGTAACCAGACAGCGAAATTTTGCTATCAATTAGGTTAGGTTACATTAGGTTTGGGTATTTTTTTTATAACAATATTGAAACCGTTTATTTAGCCAGAAAAATACAGATACAGGGTGGACAATAATAAAAATACTGACATGGCTGAGCATTTATTTTATTTATTTATTTTTTTGTCAATGCATTTTTTGGTCTGAGCCTAAAACACACACACACACACACACACTGTACCTGTATAATTAGATGTGAAGCCAGATCAGAAGGCCTTTAGTGTAAGAACTTGGGTATTCTACCGACTTTTCAGATTAAAATGTACTGGCTTCTCTTGAGCTGTATTACTTTATTTCTATCAAAAGTATTTTTCAGTATTTAGGAACTACCTGTACAATAAATATAATTCTGTCATTACAAGCTTTAAAGTTGAGGGTAAGACAAAATGAGTAGCCAGTAAGGCTAACCACATAAAAGAAGTTGCATCATTAAATCCATGAACCTCTTTGCCAAACTTCCTATCAGATAAAAAGACAATTACCATTGTTCTACTCAATCATTTAGCCCCTGAAAATTACCTAAGAGTTGTAGATATTATAAATTTACAAATTTGGTAAAAATCAAAAATGGAGAATGAGAACCTAGTGGTTTTTTCTTAAGCATTTTCCTACTATGGTGCCAGTGACCAGATTCAAGAATAAAACCAAATTTATTTCACTCGCCTTCATCCATTCACTATTTGCTGTGACATCCATATGAATCACTTTCTCCTATCATGATAGGAATATCCAGAGTAAGAATAAATTAAGGGTTTGCAGTTGCCTAAAAAAAATTGGCAAGTTTATTTAAAAATGTAATGGGAATTTAGTGTGAAATTGTCTTTTATATAAAGAATTATCTTTATAAAACAATGATAAGTTAAGAATTATCTGCTATATTTCATCACATTGTAAAGACTCTGGGGATGATCTAACCACATTGAATTTACCATTTCCTTAGCATTATAGGTTAAAAGACTAAGTTTCTGCTATTAGTTACAGCCACAGTTGCTTGTGTGGTAATGTTTCTGGTATTCTTCAGTGTACTGTACATACTTTATATGTCAAACTAGTTTTCTTTTGTTTACCTAAAACAGTTTGTTGTAGTACAGTTTATGCATACTTGATGTATTTATTGGTTGCAGTACGTACTGTACATACAGTACAGAAAATGGGTTCCACTCCAGGTTTGGTTAAGGGTTAAACAGTACAGAATTAGAAATAAATAAGTAAATAGAATTACGTGTAATGAAAATTTGTAAATTTATGGAAATTCTAAATACTGTACCCAGGTTACAGAAATGATAGTGTCATTAAGGAAATTATATAAAATTTAATACATGTCTGACCGAAAGTAATTACAGTACTGTACAGTTTATCTAAATTTACCTAGGCAAGGTTTTTAATCTCAAGTTGGACTATGCTAATTTGAGTATGCTGGCTTAATTTGTAGAAAGTGAAATACTGTACTGCACTTGAAATCTTTTCTTTGTAAAAATGTTGATTAAAGCTCCCTGTGTCATGATTGTTAATACAGGCATCACTCATTTCATTAAAGGGTTGAATTCCTGAAAAGTGTTCCACCAAGCAAAATTCTGCTAAAAGAATTTCAGATGCATTCCTGAAGAAAAAATCTACCAAAGGGAAAATGCTATCCACAAAATGTAATATTCAGCTACCCGGTAAATATATTCAATCCATCTCCAGTAAAATATTATAATAATTACTTTGTGCACAGATAATACCATAAATAACAGAAAAAGCAATGTACACTAAATAGAAACTATGGTGAAGGGTGCTTGACTCACAAGCACTTTAAGTACAAGTGCTCCTCTACCTACGAACGAGTTACGTTCCTGAGGCTTGTTTGTAAGTCCAATTGTTTGCAAGTCCAACTTTACTCTTGTAGATACCAAACATTGTAAAAAAATGAAAAGATTACGGATATTTAGTACAGCTATACCCTTTAATACAGCCTTTAAACCTGGCTCACTATTCTCCTCTTAGGTAATGTTTGTTCTGTCTGTAATTTTCTTCCAAATATTCCAGTCTCATCCACATTAAACACCTGTTCTGGCTGTTAACCCCCCTCAGTGATGATGTTTGTATCTCTGAAAGTTTGTAAGTTGAACTTTCTTAAGTAGAGGAGCACCTGTATACCAAATGAAGAACTTAAATCTTATTTTCTCCCTTCTGTCCCTTGAAGTGCTCACAGGAAACCACCATATAACTTTTAATTTCACAGCCAAAGTAATCATCTTTCTGATTTTCTTACCACTGCTACCATGAGCACTTAAGAGAATGAACTCTTGGCAGACATAATTAAAGGAATGAATTACTTTGAAAGGAGAAAACTAAGGTGAAAACCATTAAAAACTAGCTGCCAGGTGTTTACAAATGTGGGAAGTACATATATTTGAAAATCACTAACAAATGAAATGTACAGTAGACTCAGACTTTTTCTACAAAGTGTCTATTCTATGTTTAAAATGTTTTAAAACATTCAAAATTCCATAACTCGAGTTGCATGTACCCCTGTACTGTATTGTTAAGTGAAGTGTGTACCCCCAATTACTTGTTCTGTGAATTCAAAATTCTCCTGTTTCCATTAAATGGAGATTCCTATGTTGAAACACTGTTTCTAGACTACACTTTTAAGTTCATCAAATGTTGTTCATATGTAATTTGGGGGTTTGGAAATATCTATTTATTAAAAAATTATCAGGATGTAAATACAATACATGTCCTTATGTTATTAAGTGTTTCCAAGCTCTGTATTGTAATTTTGTTCTTGTTTATAAACTGAAGTGAAAAAAACTTTTTTTTTTGATAACAGGATCTGACTGATATGGTCACAAGGATGCTCACACAAAACATTTTGTATCCTTCCAGTTACGTATTCTCGACCTGATCTGTTTATACTCCGAGATTAAGCACCATACGGGTTGTGAAGATGTAACAGAACATGGCCCTGGCACATCATGTTAAATAAGACTGTGTTAGTGTTGATCTGTACATGAACTGACAAGTGTATGCTCACTGTACTTAATGTGGCTTCTCTGTTTTTGTTTTTAGAATCCAAGCTAAATCATGCATTTACAAAAAATAATGGTGTTAAGAGATAAGGGAAACATCTAAATTTGATTGTTTTATCATATGTAATGGAAAAATAATTATGATGGGTCACACAATAATCAGGGCATAGTACTTTTTTATTATTATTATGAATAATGTTAAGATCTCTTGCTTTCAACTGGATTTATTTTATTAAAAATTGCAAAACTGCCTGTAACTAATGTATAGAATTTGCTGTATTCAGGAAACTGGTTGATAATAAATTTTTTGAAAAAGAATTCAAATCAATATCCATTACATCCATTTCTGTGTTATGTAAGTGTTGTCTTCACTCTTCTTTGATTCTCAACCACATCCAGTGGTCCCTCAGTTAACGAACGGTTCGATTAATGAAATCCTTATGACAAACACGTTTTGTTGTGTGCATCAGCTTGATCGGCCAGTCCGCCAATACAGTAATCAGTTCTGTGTTTACATACGTTTCTAGTGGAGTAAATATCAAGAAAGTTGGTCTCTTGAATATTTCTGCATATTTTATATTAAAATTATTGGTCATTCTGAAATTTAGTTCACATACTGATAATATACAGTGCAGAAAATATTATGAAACACAAAGAAGACATTAGAACCAATGCACTCTGTAAAGAATATGGCATGTCATCATCGACTGCCTCTACAATCTGCTGTTTGATATGTAAACAAAGCTGCAGGGAATATGACATACACATCTCAAAGAACCCGGTAAGTTAAAATACAATATTCTATTGTTTAAGATTTATTATTGTACAGTATACTGTACAGTACTGTATTTAGTTTATATTTAATGTTTTGTTAATTCTATTACCGGTATACAGTACTTTATATGTACTTTTTCTGTGAGTTAGAACCAATTACCCAATATCCCATTGAAATAATAGATTCAGTTAAAGAACGACAACGAATTGTGTTCATTAACCGAGGGACCACTGTACTACAGGAGTGGTGGTTCTGCCACGTTAAGGTTTTGCCACATCTCCAAGTGAAAACTTTCAGGACACTATCTGACCTGCAACTTTGTGCCTCCAGTGTACATAGTGTAAAGATAGAACTAATTTTATAGTTACTGTATATTGATAAGGAGGTGGTAGCAGAAATTCTGGCACCTCTGAATGACACTGAGTGCATGGCAATGCCCAACTGCCTGGGACCTTTAAACCAGGTAAGAAGCTTTTCACTGTTACCATATAACTTTGGGGGTTGTTTTAGCCAACAAAAAGAATATGGAAAATATTGGACCATCTGAGCATGACTTGGGTTAAATTAATTAACCATCTATGGGTAATGCAAGCTCTATCACAAACCATTTCCTCACCTGTAAATCACAAAATGGATTGCAGGTTTCAATCACCTACTTTTCAGAACATCCTTGTTACACTCTTGTACATTCAAATGTCCATTTTCCCCCCCTTTGGTAAATTAATATTGTACATGCCCTCACCCTCAGATTAATAGAGGTTATAAGCCACAAACATGTGACTTTCTCCCTTAATTGAAAAATATTTTGATGTATACAGTACAGGTATCTCTCGCAACATGAATGGGTTATGTTCCTGAAAAACCATTCATGAAGTGAATTTTTGTATAGCAAATAAAAGAACATGGGAAAAATAGGGTAACATGACAGTAGTAACCAATAGCAGCACATGAGAATTCTGAGCCTATGGCCTAACTTTCCCATGTAGCTAGCACACCTACATGCTTAACATGGCTGGAATGGATAAATGTTTTTTGAACATTCTCAGAATTATAATTTTATTTTAGGATAATGGAAAATTCTGGGGATCAAAGATTCTGGCTATTGGGGATATTACTTGTAACTGTATACTGTAGAACTAGACACCAACCACAACTCTTCAACTAAAACTTGGTGTTAATTTTATAATTTATATTGCATAAAGTTTTGTTTTTTTATACTGTACTGTCTTACTGATACCTGTAATATACATATAATTTAGAAGGCAGATGGATGGACAAAATTTTTTTCACCACTAAAGGGATTAAGTACTGGACATAACATCAGTCTACACTGGAGAAAGAACTTCTCTCTTCTTGTCCTTACTTAATCTGAAGTTAACCAAGATTTAGCCCTTGTGGTCAAGTCATAACAATGCTCAAAGTAGGACTCAAGAGTTAGCATAAAGTGGACACTTTAGACCCAAACAGTTAACTCAAAACAATTTATCGGTTCAGAATCACTTGGCTGACTCGTAACAATGCAAGTTTCTTATTTATAACAGTGATATGCTTCCAACCTATACCACAGTGGGCGCCATTTGAGTGATTTATTAAATGTTCATGTTTCCCATTTATAACAGGCCATCACTTCAGTCCCATCTCACTCATGAAAGTGACTTCTATTTATGTCTTCATTTATGTCATATGAATTTACACATCATTTTACCTGAATCCATGACCCATGAAAACATATACTGTAGTACAATTGAGGTCCAGCATACCTTACAGTAATTTGTACTTTTCTGGAAGACAGAACTATCATCACAAATTAGAAGTTGGCATGTATTGTACATAATATATCCAGTATGGTTGGGGGTAAAAGGTGTGTGCCGGATGCACACATTTTTTTAACGATATACAGTACAGGTATCCCTTGTTTAATGATGGGGTTGCATTCCTGAAAAGCCTAGCGTTAAGCGAAATTATCGCTAAACGAGGTATAACACAGAATCAGTCTTCGGTTACTTTTTCACCTAAATACATTGCATTTAACAATAATTTGTTGTTATAATAATAATAATAATAATAATAATAATAATAATAATAATAATAATAATAATAATAAACTACAGTACACTACAGTAAAGTAGCACTCGCCAAGTTTATGTAGAACCAAAGTCATCATCATTTGTCCTCTCCAAGGCTGGAGGACTATTGTTGCTGGTGCCCGCACGTCACTCACGCTAGTTGGAATATGAGGCTGGAGGCAATGTGACCTGCCACCATTCTTGTTATGCCACATAATGTTAAACTTCACCTCCAAGTCCAAAGATTTACAGGAGAGTTTGGCCTTGCCTGATGAGGGAGGCAAAACAGCAGTACACTTATTTGATATTTTTTAAAAGTTCACTCACTTTACACCCTATATGAACAGTCCGTACAGTACTTAAAAACCTGTAAAATTAACAATGATAACAACGATACACAGCAATAGTGTATAAGGCAATAACAGGAAAGCACGGAAGACAATGATCAAATGACAAGTGGTAAACATTTAGTACATGGCGTGGGTAGATAGCTGGCACACGGGTAGCATAAACAAGTAACAGGAGAGATGCGCAATTGGAGCACAGAATCCACAGTTTTTCCGCCTTCCCAGTGAGTCGAGATATTGCTAAACCAAGTTTTGACTTAACGTTAAATAAGGGCTATCTGTACTTAACCTAACCAGTGGTGGCACTAGATTGACCACCACCTGCTGTCACTCCTTAACAATCTGAGGCTGACATAGGCAGGATCCTAGGTAATGACCCATATCACACACTGCTCATAAGTGAAGTTGCCTTGCAGGCCATAACAATACTATACTGTATTATATGTTTAAGATTTTGAACTTTTTCTGTAACCAAAGTTGTTTGTTAGCTCCAAAGTGTATAAAAAAACAAATGCTGAAATATCTAAAACTCTAAAATTGCAAATGTGTGTAAAAGTTGCAAGTTTCCTGCTCTCACAAATTCTTAATAGCTAAGATTTTAATTAAATTCAACTTCCTCTTTTATTGGATTATTAAAAGATGGCAAATAAGAGCACATGTGCATTTAGTAAAAGGTTTCCTCTGGCTTAAGGTCAACATAAGCCTCACTTGCTTCCCACACTTTCTTTGCCAAGCCTGCATCACACACCAGAGTAGATATGTTGTCTGATACCTGCAAATAAAAAAGTTATTGCATTAACCAGTATAAATTATACCAAGAGAGAGTGAGTGAGTTTAATTCTGCAAGCAGTGAGTGTCATATTGACTTACAGTACGAGCATAAATATCAGAACAAGTAACTGAACTGAACATTTTACAGTACTGTACAACATTCTGCATAAAAGTCACTCTTTGATGAGAGAAATAATATGCCTCTTTTTGACAACTGGAGAAAGCAAGATTGCTTAACTAACCTTACAATTCTCAAAGAATTTCCCAGTAATGGCAGCATCTTCTTTGGAGACTGCCAGGTGAACAATTGTCTGGGCCCCTTGCTGCGTGGTCTGTCCAGGGTGAACATGAATCACTCAGTACACATTATATGTTGTGAACTAAAACTAAATAATTTGAGAGCTAATTATCAATAAAATTAAAAAAACATAAACAGACTTTATTTTAAGTGATACACCAATTCAAAATGTTTTACAGTCGTTCTGTTTGTTCACAGTTGTGTTGCCTATGCAGTGTGATGCCAACAATGGAACATGACATCTCCACAATCATAATAAGTGAAGTGTGTGACTGTGTGGTGTGATTTAGTGAGACCAAATCCAACACCCAGATCCAATGTAGCTACAGTACCAAAGACCTTGGTGTTCTGAAGCTAACATTAAAACAAGCAGTTTGGTTCGTCTTAAACAATCAAGTTTTTCAATGCTTTCTCATAATATGTTCTTTATAATCTAACAAAACATGTGATTGCACTGAGAAATAATCAATATGATGTCTTTGTGTGTCCAAGCTAGTAGCTACTGTAGACATACCACACGTGCCTACCTTGCCCATAATGGGAGCCAGAAATCGATAGAGTTTGCCAATTATGAAGCCATCACATTTTTTGAAGATCTCTGTTGCCACTAATCCTGGACAGAGTGCATTTACCACCACGCCTAAAACAGATACAAATTCACTGATAATGAAGCATGGATTACTACACAGGGTAAGAATAAAATATTACACATACTGTACATGTACAGGGTGTTCTGCAGTGATTAGTCGAGGCCAAGACAAATCAAACTACAGTAATATACGTACAGCATTGACATTAATTCAGATATTTATGCATAAGCCGAGTTAAAAGGATATTTTTGTCGTCAAAAATTAGGATGTCAATTCATAAAATACAGACAATATTTTGTATCATCTGAAGATTAGAGACCCAGGCTTATTTCAAGTGATGATAAACCACCTCATGCTACCTGGGGAGTTAGGTTCACTACATATCATACTTTAATAAAGATTGATTTTATTATTCATTAAGCCTAAAATTATGCAGTGAAATAAAAAATATCCTCACCATTGAGAAAATGGCTTCTGAATATGACTTTTGGCTTAGAACTTCTGAATGTAATGAAATAACTTTCATTACATTTAAAACTTCAAATTTTGGCCACACAAATTCTTCTGCTTTATGATGCAATGAAACTGAAAAAATATTATTTTTGCATTAACCAAGATGGGACCACTCCATTGTGTGCATCAATCCATGCAGGAGACCCAGCTTGTATTTTTAGCTGGCTACATAAATCGCTTAATAATTCATTCAGAAACTGTTCCACTCTGATGTTTTCAAATTTCTTAACTATCAAATTATCTTTCGTCTGTATTCACTAAATAAATACAGTACTTATACAGTACACGAGCAGTACAGTACAGTATATCCAGATCTGAAACTTTGTTTTAATTTTTCTCTTCACAATGTATGTTTCCCTGCCAATGTAGAAGCCAGTTATGAAAAATTTACTTGTCAAAACATTATAGCTGCTGTTACTAAATCAAATGCTTTGATGAGGTTTATGAAGGTATGAGCCACAGAGGTCTTACATTTCTCTAGGTTGTGGTAGATCAAGTCTTGAAAGCTGACATGGCAGTCAGTGGTGGAGGTGGTCTTCATATGCCAACTAGCTGAGGATATGTGGTGCCTGCAATGTCAGCATACTCGTAAGCCCAGTCACATACAAAACCCTCACAGCTTGTGCTAGGTATTGAAGTAATTGATCATATCTCGTTTAATAACTGCGGTCTTCGTGACTTCCGTACTGGAGAAACAAATGAAGTATTCCAGTCAGTGAGGCATCTTGCATGTCTGAGAAAAGCAATGATGACAAAGTAGTTGGGTTTGATTAGTTCCAGGAAGAACTCCTTGTACAGCTTCAATGGTAAGTCAATGTAATTGGTGGAGCACTTAAACCCGAGGTTGTCCCCTCATATGGAAACTTCAAATTCTTGCATCATGTAAATGGTTGAAGAGACTTGTAGGTAAGCTGGGAGGCAAGTGGTGGCAAAATACTGTACTGTACTGTATATAGTAATATCCCCGCTAGCCGGAACAATTGGTGCAGATATTTCTGGGTACTGCACTTACACAAATTCCGCGTCTAAACTATGCATCTGGCACAAAGCACCGTTGCTACGGAGGCTTAACACACACACACACGTCTTTGTGTGTGGGTGTAGTGCAACACAACCAGTTATATAAATGAATGCGATGTCCACCGAGCTTCCTGTGCAGCATTTATGACACATGTAATATCTTCATTACATCAATAATTAGTCATTTAAAGGGGAATACAACAAATCCACTGATTATCTATACAGTATTTAGGGGAGTAACTAACAAATCACTTACTGTTGCTTGATGTTTCGTAATCATGCTCACTGATTCACTTCTGACTTCCCCAACTTGTTGTATTCTGATATTGGAATGGATATTCCCATCACTATGTTTGTCTTCTTGTAAGCAGGATATTAACACCTCTTCATCATCCATCAGCAGTAACGTTGGCCAATATTCATATTAATAACCTTCCCCTCTCTTTTTGATGAGACTTTGTTGGAATCAAAACTCTTCAGTTCAATGTAGTGACCTACCATCAAGGAAGGGCGCAATGGGCTATGCCACCGCCAGTGTATCACAAAATTCTGTGTGGAACTATAAATGGCAGCAGACAACAAACTAGGAGTGTCATGATGCTAGACTTCAAGGAGATAAGCTGTAAGATACATCAACCAATCATAGGCATCCCATGTTGTCACATGGCAGTAGTAACCAACTGTAGTGCATGAGCACATGTGCTTAGCATGTGTCGGTGCATGAAGCAATCACTCGGAAATTCATTAAAATTTCTCGAAATGCTGAAATTTTATTTTCAGGTAATGGAAAGTTCTGGGGGATCAAAGATTCTGGCTATTGGGGATACTATTATAAATGTTAGCTTGTTGAACTTCACAATCATCGTTGAGATAGCTAATGAGGGGAGCGAGTGCATCTTTTTTTCTCAAAGCAGCATAATGTACTGTACGTAGTTCCTTTAGTGTGTGTGTGTGTGGGTGTACAATGTTTTATACTTTATTATCATATTATTATGCATATTCAAGTGAGATATGCATATGCTGGAAAACAGTTCACTGCCAAGTTACAAGTTCAGGTTGGGGTAAAAAGTCATCAAATATACACAAAACTGATTCATTTCAGTGGTCAGTAAGCTCCAGTACTGCAGATCTACAATCTGTTTTACACTGAAGTTATTGAACTATTTGTGTATATTTCTGTGATTAATAAATGTTTAATGTATTGTCTAAATTTTTTTACATTAAATGATACATTTATTAATAAACATTAACACAATGTGCGCTTATAGTACTGTGAGGAGTGGCGGTTGGCTGCGAGCTCTTGCCCATCAAAAGATGGCAGCCGCGCGGCTGACATCTCACTTGAACGCTCTACATCGCTCACGCCGCCTCCACCCTATTATACCTCCATGGTCTACACACACACACACACACACACACACACACACACACACACATACACAAAACATATAAAAATAAATAATGATGGGAAAATCCTCTCACAAATAAACAACAAAATTATTTAAAATGTGACAGTCTACCCTCAAGTCTGTGCTCTATTACAGTAATTTATTAATAGAGCATGGACTTGAGGGTAGACTGTCACATTTAAAAAAAAAAATTTCTGATTATTTGTGAGAGTATTTTCCCATCATTATTTATTTTTATATGTTTTGTGTGTGTGTGTGTGTGTGTGTGTGTGTTTGTCTACACATACCCACACATACTGTATACAATACTACAGGTAAAATAAATAATTGTCCTAAGGGCAGGGTTGTTATGATTTAAATCAAATGATTTAAATCACATGATTTAAATCAAATGATTTAAATCACATGATTTAAATCAAATGATTTAAATCACATGATTTAAATCAAATTATTTAAATCACATGATTTAAATCGATTTAAATCAGAGTAAAAAAAATCATGATTTAAATCAAAATGATTTTTTTACTAATATCTGTTTTCTCTTTTTATTCTACATGATTGAAAAGTATATGAAATGCAGCAGGCTAATAACATTATTTGGATTTACATAATTATGTACTGTACTATAGTCTGTTTTTGTGATAAAAACTACTAAGTCTGAAAAAGTCACTTTGGATCAGCAAGTTGCTAATTATATATATGCAACAAATTCACCCTTCCGAACAGTGGAGCACGAAGAGATATATCAAGATGATTAAAATGCTAAGACCAGGATATGTTCCACCTCATAGACATCAAATTGGAGGGTCTCTTTTGGATCAAGCCTACGATTCAGTGATTAAGAATTATTCAGAAGAACTTAGTGGGAAAACAGTTTGCATGGCCATGGATGGATGGAGTAATGTCCATAATGAGCCTATAGTATGTATAACTTTAACAGCGGACAACCGTATTTATCTTGTTGACTCTATAGACACAGAATCAAGACACACAGCTGAATATCTGTTGAAATTAGCTGAATGTGCTACAAAAAAGTGTGAAGACAAATTTGGATGCACAGCAAGAAGCTGTGTAACAGATAATGCTGCTAATATGGCAAAAATGAGAAGTGAATTCGGACAAGATAAATCCATTATAACATATGGTTGCTCTGCACACCTGTTAAATTTGCTTTCACAAGACCTGCAAATCAAGAACATTAAGGAGCACATTATTGAAATCATTAAGTACTTCAGAAATCATCACATCCTAGGATCTTTGTATAGAAGAGCAGGAGGAACAATGCTAGTAATGCCATCAGACACACGATGGAACACAGTGACAGATGCTATTGAATCCTATTTAAAGAACTGGGAGACCCTTGTCAAAGTGTGAAAAGAAAATAGTGAAGACATTGATAAGAAAATTGAAAGGAAAGTTAATGATAAGGCATTAAAAAGAACTGCAGAAGACTATTTAGAGAAACTTAAGCCTATTGCTGTGGCATTGGATTGTGTCCAGAGAGAACATGCCCTATTAAGTGATGCTGTAGAAATCTGGGTAAAACTGAAAACTGATATTAAGGAGTATTTAACAGATAAGAAGGATATGGATAATTTTGAAAAAATGAATCAAAGTATCATTGACACCTGCCCATTTTCTAGCTGTGATAGATCCAAGGTATCAGGGCAAACATCTGACTCCTGAGCAGCGAGATATTGCAGAACAGTATGTGTACGAGTCTCTTCCACATTTCCTTTCAGCATTAATGTCCTTCCATGGAAAAAGTGCACCATTTAAAGAGGTCTATTTTGGTAAAGATGTAAAATCTCTCTCACCCCTTGCTTGGTGGCAGTATTTTGCCAATGATATGACAGAAAATGTAATGGATGTTCCTAGGCAATTATTTCCAGCTGTTGCATCATCAGCAGGGGTTGAGAGAATTTTTTCCACATATGGATTTGTACACTCAAAGGTAAGAAATCGCCTCGGACAGGAAATGGCATCTAAGCTTGTCACAGTACATAAGCATTTCAATGTTCAACTAAGCTAATTTAAATGTTTTGAACTATTTTTGTTGTTTACAGAATGAGAATATTGTGTTGACTTGAAGTTATTACCGGTAATTCTTAATACACTATAATCCTACAAATGTAAGAAAATAAACTTGTTACCAGTATTATTTTTTTTACAAAATGAGAATATTATTCTGTTGACTTGAAGAAGTTAAGTTATTAATTTTTGAAACACTGTAATCCTATAAGAGCATTTATGTTAAATTTCATTATTACGTTTGGATTTGTGCACTCAAATGTAAGATATGTTACCAGTTTTCTTTTATTTTACAAAAAGAATATTATTGTGTTCAATTCCATTGGTACATCTACTGCATAAATATCTTAATGCCAATCTTCTGTTTATTATCCTGAATAAGCTTTGGTTGAAAAATACTGTTTTTATGGTTTAAAAATACTATTTTAATGCAATTAGTAAAAAAATAAAAAAATCGATTTAAATAAAAAAAATCCGATTTAAATCAAATAAATCGGTTTTTTATTTTTTTTTAAAAATCATGATTTTCTCCAACCCTGCAAGAGCAAACACATAAAGGGAATATACATTTCTTTGTACGCAAATAAAAATGTACCCGCCCCTCCAGGTCTGCAAATGTTATTCGCGACCATTTTAAGAACCTAACCCCTGCAAATTTGGAAGCCCCCCTGATATTATCAAGTCAACATGAATTTGGCACTATTTCTGTATCTGTTGTCAGCCACCTTGGAATGCAGTAAATTTTCATCGTACATCATGCAAAAGTATCTGAACTCGATTTAATTTTCGTTTGATTTATCTAAATCAAAACTTACATACTGTTATTCTCAGTACAGTACAATCAAATTTAATCTATCTTCCTCTTTTCCCTCAACTCACCTGTTCCCTTCAAAATGTCTGCTAAATGATGAGCAAACAAGATGTTGCACGCCTTGGACTGGCTGTAGGCATGCATCTGCCAGTATTTACCATTCTCATAATTCAGTTCCTGTAATATAAAACAAACGATATAATTTATCATACAGGTGTATACTCATTTATAAAATTCACTCAATAAAATATACAGTCTGGTACCTAATTTAGTTATCAAATTGTTATCAGAGTATGGATGAAAACTTAATACTGTACTATACAATACAGTATGGGAACCTCATCAAAAGGGATTTTGGCTAGAGCTGGGAATGAAACCCATCTTTTTCTATGTTAACCTGCAAGTATCTTCGTTTATAATATTTTGCTCATACAGGTCCGAGTACTGTACACTTATAATTGAAGGCGACCTGTATAAAGGAAAACATACAATATGGGTGAATATAGATTATAGACCATGCTGAAACTGATTTTTTTTTTATTTACTGTACATGTAATCAAGAAAGTCAGTCACTACCTAATACAGTACAGTTGTACCCTGCTTTACGCGGTCAATTGAACCCACAGGGTACCGCGTTAAGAGGGTACCGCGTTAAGTGAACAACTCCACTTTTTGACGACACACAACTATGTTGTAGTAAAAATTTTATCTTAACTTTATGATGATATGAACAAACAAGTAATATAGAAGAGGTTAGGTTAGGAAAAATAAAGGTTACGTTAGGAAAAATAAAGGTTAGGTTAAGAAAACTAAAAGTTAGGTGTAACACTTACGTTAGTAAAAGAGATGGGTCGGCGTACGGGGATGGAGGCGGAGGGGAGGGAGGGAGGAGGAGGAGGAGGGAGAGGCGAGGCAGGCGGCAGCGGGTGACGGGAATCTAAAAATAGCGTCTCGAGCCGGACACTCTGCGCGTATATGGGTAGATGAAGTGAAAGTTCGGTTCTGGCGAGGCACCGCGTATATGAGAAATCGCGTTAAGTGAAACCGCGTAAAGCGGGGTACAACTGTACTTTATATGTCACTGTAGTTAAAGAAACTTAACCATCTAATTAACCTGGTCTGTACAGTATTATATTCTAGTATTATACTTGTGGTACATTTATCATTATGTATACTGTATGCATGCAGTTGGTTATGTGGATGGGACTAAACTCACTATTTTACAAAAATAATACAGTACTGTACTGCAATGGGTGTGGTCTCATACATTACAAAATTCCAAGACTCTACTGTACGGTAACAAGTTTTTTCACCCTTGGGTCTAGCGTCTTTATGTAGGAATGTGCCATTGATGAAGTTACTATCACTCGACTGGGGCTGCTCTCCTTCAGCAAACCTTAATGACAGAAAAAATAATCCAGAGATTAGCAACTTTCATCAATAGAATGACAAATTAAAGGATGATTCTGGCTTTTCATGTGAGAAAAGATTATTTACTTCTGGTGTAAGATCATCGGTGAAAGGTGATTAAATATAAGAATGTAATCAGGCCAGCAAGTGAAAAAAGATATGTTCAATGTTTGAGGATAGGAGTGCCTCTGATGCTTGTGTACCAAATTATCTTAATGGACAGAGGGTTTATGAGGCTTTTTGGAAAAAAATAAAAAGGAGTAATTGAAAGAGTACTTGCAAGGGAGCATCATCTCATGACACTGAGAGATTTAAAATTATTCATACATGTTATTGTAGAAATAGGGTGCCAGACCTTACAAGAAAATCACAATGGTTTAAATCTATATGAGAGATGTACAATCCCCCACAAAAGTATGGTTAGCCATGGGGTTTATGTGACTCGAGGCTTTCCGAGGAATGTTACTCGACCTGTTTCTCAACGGTTGGTAGCTCTACATCCGTGACCTTTGAGCATGAATAAGTATATACATTTTCGAACGATACATAGATTAATATAGTTAAATGGATTTCTTGTTTTATAGAAGTATCTAGTATGCCATAAAGGATGACTCTCTCCCCTAATCCTACCCACATCTCTAGCTGTTACTGATATGGCGAGCAAGCATACTAACTTATGATGATGCACAGGGGATCATGTCAAAGCATTTTGTCTAACGTTTCAAATTGTAGCAATGGAAAATCTAACAATACTTTTTGGGAAGACTATACATCAGTGGATCTAGGCATTGCAACACATACAGTACAGTATTTTGTAAAGAAAAGTGTATCACTAGAGGAGCAGATAAGGGTATAGGAATGATATGAGAATAAAAGAGTGAAGAAATTGGTGAGAGAAATAAACTTAAACTGATTTAGTCAGACATTAAATTTTATCATCAAAATTTAAAACAACTCATGAAAGAGGAAAGAAGAAACAGAATTAAAGATGTAGAAGAATGAACAGTAATTACAGTGAAACCTCTATATAACGGTTTCATATCTAACGGATCCTCGATATAATGGACATTCACCTATGCCTATATACTGTAGTTCATTACATGGAGGTTTTACATATATCAGGCCCTTGATATAACAGATTTTCCTCTCTATATACGTAGTCCGTTAAATAGAGGTTTCACTGGATATAGATATAAGAACTTGAAGAATTAAAAGTAACAATCCTCACCTAATAACCGGTTGGCAAGGAGGAAGTGACCAAAATGGTTGGTTGCCATGGTAATTTCAAGGCCATCTGTAGTCAGAGTTCGTTTAGACATCCCTCCAATACCAGCATTCAGTACCAACACATCAATTCTGCAATGAGGAATTTATCAAACTGTACTGCCTATCATCTGTCTTAATATATTTCATATCACTTCAGCTAAAATATTTCCAGGCACTACTGAAAATCTTTGGGCCATATCAAGAATCTTAGCTATATAATTGTTATAGGTTCTTAAGCCAGTTTTATTAGCTACGTACACAGAACTAGATCTTTTGACTGTCATCCGAAAAATACATCTGCACATATTTAAGAAGCAATGATCATGCCATTCATATTTCAAATCAATCTCTCCAAAACTGATACACTAGTTGCATTGACATTTTTAGGCTAACAGACAGACAGACAGACCAATACACAGCATGAATGACAACAAAGCCCCTTCCCTAAACTGGCTGAGAGGTAAAAGGAATTACAATTTCAATACAAGTAATTCATCTTGCACATCCTACCTGTGTTCCTCAGCAAGAATTTTGTCTGCAAACATTCTGACAGAGGCCTGGGATGAGGTGTCCAGGTGCCTCACCAACACTTCTTTGTTGCCCGTAGTAGATTTAATGAAATCTGAGAAATTATAATTGAGAAATTATAATCCAATTTATCTTTATCAATTGTAATGAATGGGGCACATTAACTGAGAGATTATAATAAAATAATTTCTATTAACTACTTGTCCAAGGAACCACTCTGTGCTGAATAAAATCGTCTGAAGTTAGCAAAAAAAAAAACATTTTAAAGGTGACGTCCCCATATCCCCATAATGAAGGGATTAAAAATGTTTTAATTATTTCTCTCTTTCTTGCAGCCAAATTACAGAGTATAAAACCAAATTTTTCTTTAAATCTTCAAAATCAAAATTACCAGCAACATCTGCAGCTTTTTTAAGGTTTCTACAAGCCAGGATGACACGAGCACCACGAAGAGCCAAGTCCCACGCAGCTTCCTTCCCAATACCTGAAATGACACAGCATTCAAGAACTAAACTCATACTCATTTATGAAGGAAAATTGTATGGTAAACTAGACAAATCTTTGTACTCTTGTACATAAAAGGTTTATACAGAACATGTTCTGTACTGTAAAAGGATAATAATCCCACATCATCATACGCCATGACACTCACTTTAAGTTAATACAGTACGGTAATTCATTTAGTTTCATAAGACTCTTTCATGGATATTTCTAGTTACAGGGATAATTGGGATATATACTTCTAGTTACTGGGATACTTGGGATATAAATAGTGTTGCAGTGCCAATTTATAAGGTGCTGGAGCTGTCAAATAATTTCCGTTTCCTAAACTGTATCTATTGATGCATATATATATATATATATATATATATATATATATATATATATATATATATATATATATATATATATATATATATATATATATATATATATATATATATATATATACATATATATATATACACAGGTATATATATATATATATATACAGACACACACACACAGTGACCCCTCGGTTAACGAACTCAATCCGTTCCAGAAGGTCGTTCGTTAACCAAAAAGTTCGTTAACCGAAACCATTGTTTCAATGGGTTTTTGGGTCATTGGTTCCAGCTCACCGAAAATTTCCTAAATTCAAAAAAAATGGTAGAAAAGTTCACTTACTTTGAGGTGTGTATGTAGAAGGCTCCTGGATGATGATGATGGGAATTAGAATGGGGGTGAAGGAGAAGGGAGAAGAGAAGGCATTGGGGTGAAAGAGAAGTCACCCCATGGCACCATTTCACCCATAAAATTTTAGTTCTCTTGGTGTATCTCAAGATTATTTTCTTTAAATCAACACTGCACTGCATTATATATTGTCAATATGTAAAATATATTTCAAAATGACCAATAATTTGCTTGGAAACACAGAAAAAAAGCGTTTAGTTGAAGAGAGTCTCAAGCAAGATGTTACCTCCAGTGAAAACAGAGAGAGACTAACGCCTGTTTGCTGTGTTAAGAGGCTGGATGCCGCGCATTAAACTAGTCACTTTACCTTCAATTATGTTCAATAATTGTTAAAATGACTAAAAAATTGAATATTAAACTTTTAAAATTATTGAATAGTATAAACTTCTTGATATTTACTAAAATAGTAAGGAATTTAAGCCCTAGAACCGATTAATGTATTGGCGGACTGATACTAAAGCTGGTTGCCCGGCCAGTGCAAGCGAAAACATGTTGAGGTCGGTTCGTAAGAAATTCGTTAACCGAATTTTTGATTAAGAATTCCGAGGTCACTGTGTGTGTGTGTGTATATATATATATGATATATATATATATATATATATATATATATATATATATATATATATATATATATATATATATATATATATATATATATATATATATATATATATATATATATATATATATATATATATATATATATATATATATATATATATATATATATAAAATTTGATCTAGTAGTAGTCTAATGTGCTTATCCTTTCGATATTGGTCACATATCTATAGCTCTTATGCGAGGAAGTACTGTTTTTAATTGTTTAGAAATGCACCTGTTATCAAATTCTTTCTACAATATTGATGTCATAAAATGTAAGCTGATCTGAAGGAGAGATTAATTATATGAGGATATATTCGGTTTTGTATATGTATTATTATTGCAAAATAAAGTTGATTGCTTGATTGAAATAGGTTTATAGTAACAATAGGGCATACTATAACTTCATGTGTGAAGTGTGGTGCGGTGGAGTGGATGAAGAGGAATACACGAAGGTGGTATGGACATCTGCCGAGGATGCATGAAGACAGACTGACAAAAAAAGTTTATGATAGCAAGAGAGAGGGGAATGTTGGGAGGGGTAGACCAATTGACACCTGGGAGAAAAGAGTTAGAGAGTTTGGTGAAGAGAGAGCAGGAAGGGGAGGAAGAGTGTTTGAGAGAGCAAGCGAGGTGTGCAAGGATAAAATGGCCTGGAGACATTTCTGCCATGGCCACCCCCTGTTGAGGAGTTCCCGGGAGGGAACAAGGCGTCGGCGATATTGATTGATTGATCAAAACAGAGGTGCTGGAGCGGCGCTCCAGTGAGCTCTGGCAGCACTGCACCCCTGGATATATACTTCTAGTTACTGGGATATTTGGGATATATACTTCTAGTTACAGGGATATTTGGGATACCTGTACTGCACTTCAAGTTACAGGGATACTGTATTAAGAGTATTTCTTGTAAACATTTTCTGTTTCTTAAAACGTGTTTAAATTAAGAATATTTACACTGAAATATACTTTTCTCCTGGAACTGGAATTTAAAGGGTGAAACTAATTCAATATTTCTAAAATAACACAAAAATACCAAATTCACAACTCAGAAACCCATAATTGGTGAGTAATTAGCCTGAAAAAATAATTAAAATCTTTTAAGTGTCATAACGACCACTAATTACCCTGCTATCGAATAGTCAACCATAGATTCAAAATCAGCATGTTCAGGAGTACTTTTCTAAAACAAGAAGGGCAACCATTACTATCTATAGACTACTGTATAGTGGAGGGTGCAAAGACCGTGCAGGGAGGGAACTCAACCTGCTAGACCAATGAAGACTTGAACCTATGAACATTTGCTTTCGAGGCAAAAACTTTACCAACCAAGCTGTGGAATGAAAAGAAGCCTTTTATTTAAAGAAAAAAAAGCCCGCTAACCTGCAGATGAGCCTGTGATGATAACAGTTTTGTTCTTCATGCTTGCCATGGAAGTTGTAAACTTTGTTCGCTGTCGGTATATGAAGCCGAACGCTGCTATGACAGTAAAAACAGACACTACAAATGCCATCACACTCATCACGGTCACCCACATCCTGAAACAGGCAGAGAACATACAGTACAGTATATAAATATACCCTGTATGAAGAGAGAATGCAACAACTTACAGGGTATTGGATTTCAGATTTTTCTTTTGAACAAGATTATTCCCTTAAATCCCACTTCAACCATCAACTGTCATTTTCATAAGTTATCTCTTGTTTTTTTTGCCCTATTTAGCTGTTGTATCAGCCTGACGATTAACATCCTATCTTATTTCACCTGAGGATTAAATATTATAAGCTAACCTAATATACTTTTAGCCTAACCTAATGCCCCTGGTAACAAGAACAGTATACAGGGAGTCTAGTACAGTAACAACATTGGGGTGTTTCCTCATCACATGAAATGGTAATTTACGAGAACACCGCTATCACCAGAATGAGTTGTTTGAGCTTACAGGTATTCATATTTTACAGATGTTCTTATCATTATAGAAGTATTTTAAAAGAGGCAACAACTTCTTTTTTTATTTTAATTATATAATTATTTTTGTATAGTTTTTCTCTATCTACAATCATAAATCACCTGTAATGGTCAGGGCATGAAGGTTGGGGGAAATTGCAGGTAAAACAGTGAAAAACTGATCAAATGAAACTAAAATGTTGTCTACATGCTTTGTACGCGAAGAAATTAATTTATTTACCATAAATACTCCTCCAAAAAACCTAGCTAGTCAGCGTACAGTAGGTTGTTGTCTGAGCTGTTTGTTTACAACCGACCCGCTCGGTCCGAGCATGTTCTCACGTCTACCAAAAAAATTAAAATTACACCATGACGCTTCAACAAAGTTACTTTCATTGGTACCAGATATCATAAGTACTGTACAGTACAGTTTATTTAATATAGCAGGGGGTCGGGGGGGGAGCCCATCGGATAGCAAGTCAGGTAAGGTTTGGTAGGTTTCCTTGGTTGGTTAGGTCAGGTTCTATTAGGTTCTAGCAAACGTTACTTTTAAAATACATAGTGGATATTTTGCAGTGACCGGCTAAGTTCTAACTAACAATATTTTACCGTGAGTGTACTTTGATTGACTGAGTATTCTCTGTTTAATATGATGGGGGATTACATTAGGTTGAAATTATGTTTTTCTTTTTTTTTGGTGTGTTTTGAACGATTCTGACCCACTTCCAAATAGATGCATGACAAAAACGTATAATTTTACCAGCAGAATTATCGTTTTGGTCATCTTTTACTTTTACTTTTATTCTCTTAGCCACTGTTTGGCTCGTTAGCCGCTTAGGTGGTCGGTCACGTCTCTGATACACACTGTTGGCAGATATTGGGCATGCACTGGCTCCTGAATATATCGGAACCTGCTCCAGTGTTGGTTAAGTCTGGCCTTGAATGAGCTCACACTTGGTGCCGTCACAACACTCTCCAGCAGATTGTTTCAAGAGTTCACAACTCTCACTCCAAAAAAAAATTGCCCTCACAATTTTTTATTTTTTTTATTGGGCACTCCCCTACATCCTTGTGTAAGGTGAAGCGCAGAAGCGTTTACAGCGCCCAACAGGGAAGCATGCTAAGTTCATGCTTGCCTTTATGTCTCATGAGTACATTCAACTGAGTAGTGCCCCTGAGATGTTTATACACTTCAATTAGGTCGCCCTTCACCCGTCTGTAGTATAAGCTAAGTAGGTAGTTGCGAGCGCTCTAATCTCTCTGGGTAACTGAGGTTCTGTAGAGCAGGCAGTAGTCTGGTGGCCTTCCTTTTGCAGTGAATTTTAGGATTTTAAGTGTAGATTAGGTTGAAATTATGGCTTTCCGATAGTTTTGATGTGTTTTGAATAATTTCCAAATAGGTGCATGACCAAAACATTAATTTTTTTACCATTCTAGCGTTAAATATCTATATATTGTATATATATATATATATATATATATATATATATATATATATATATATATATATATATATATATATATATATATATATATATATATATATATATATGCAAGTAAATCACTGTAAATGCCTGAACATTACTAAGAAATCTTTTTATAGAACTGATCCCAAGCCCACCCATGACCATAAGAATCTCTTAGTATTACCATTTCACAAAAATTTCTCTCAAATTCCTTTACAACTAAAAACCTGGAACGTCAATGTGGCATTTAAAAACTCATGCACTGTTAAACAAATGTTAATCAAGAACTCCCCCAACAACACAAGTGGTTGCATTTATAAAGTTCCTTGCAAGGAATGTAATATGTTTTACTTAGGCCAGACAGGTAAAGATCTTGTAACTAGACTTAAACAACATAAATACAGTGTTAGGACAGGCCAGGAATCCAATGCTCTGTTTGTTCATTTGAGGGATAACAAGCATTGCATTGACTGGGATAATGCCTCCTCAATATTACCTGTAATTCAATTGACAGTAGGAACATCATAGAATCTAGTCTTATTAAACATACCGAAGCATTCAACATGAATTTGAGTAACGGCATGTACAAGCTGGACAATTTTGTAATTAAGAAGATTTGTGATCAGGTGAGAAGGCCGGGTCACTTGACCATCTGACCTGACCACCAACCGTTGTGTGCTATTTAAAGATTAGTAGGGTCATTACCTAATACCTGACCATTGTGGACCTGGTCTCACCCTCCTCTGTATATATACACCTTGATTTGTATTACTCTTTCTAGTCTGTACTCACCCCTGAAGATGTGAATTACCTAAAGCTTAGAACTGTGTTTTCTTTCCTTGTGGTTATCAGCATATACCTAGACTCTGCACAGTGATTTACTTGTATATATATATATATATATATATATATATATATATATATATATATATATATATATATATATATATATATATATATATATATATATATATATATATATATATATATATATATATATATATATACTTCTTGCTCATATAATACGGTCATGAAAAGGAGAAAGTGAACAACATAACATATAGGATTAATTGAAATAGAGACCGGGCCGACCCCCAAACTCTACTTTTTCAGACACAATACCTAAGTTGTAGTAAAAATAACTTCTTAATTTTATGATGGTATGCACACACAATTAATAATTAAGAGAAATATCAATAATATTAGGTTTTTTAACACTTACATTAGTAGAAAAGATGGCTGGGCACACGGGGATGGGGGATTGGTTGCAAGGCAGAGGGCAGATTATTGGCCCTCACCTGTATCACTTGTATCAATTGTATCACTATCCACCACAGAGGCTTGCAGGGCCTCTTTGTCAAACCCCTCAATGTCCACATAAGTTCATATCCTCACTATCATTATCACTATCACTGACTTGGGCCGGCTGCGGTGGGTGGCGGGTGAAGAACTCGGTAATGTTTTGATGACTTTGCGACCTTGTGCGCACCCTGCTCGCGCCGCTCTCTGCGTAAAAGGGTACACACACTGCGGAAAGTGAGCATTCAGTGTTCGGCAGGGTACCGCATAAACGCGGAAACGCGTAAAGTGGGACCGCGTAAAGCGAGGGTTGAGTGTATATATATATATATATATATATATATATATATATATATATATATATATATATATATATATATATATATATATATATATATATATATATATATATATATATATATATATATATATATATATATATATATATAGGCAAGTAAATCACTGTAGGTGCGCTGTGATTCGTTTGCTGGTATTCAGGGTGAGGCACAGACTAGCTAGTCTGTACTCACCCTGAAGATGTGAACACGAAAGCTAGAATCCTGTGGTTTTCTTTCTTTCCTTGTGGTTATTGTGCATATATATATATATATATATATATATATATATATATATATATATATATATATATATATATATATATATATATATATATATATATATATATATATATATATATATATATATATATATATATATATATATATATATATATACAGTGACCCCTCCGTTAACGAACTCAATCCGTTCCAGAAGGTCGTTCGTTAACCGAAAAGTTCATTAAGTGAAACCATTGTTTCAATGGGTTGTTGGGTAATTGGTTCCAGCTCACCGAAAATTTCCTAAATTCAACAAAAATGGTAGAAAAGTTCACTTACTTTGAGGTGTGTATGTAGAAGGCTCCTGGATGATGATGATGATGGGATTTAGAATGGGGGTGGAGGAGAAGGAAGAAGAGGCCATTGGGGTAAGAGAAGTCACCCATGGCACCACATTTCAATCTAAGGTAAATTTAGCCTCTTGGTGTAATTCAAGATATTTCTTTTAAATCAACACTGCACTGCATTTATATATTGTCAATATGTAAAATATATTTCAAAATGACCAATAATTTGTTTGGAAACACAGAAAAAAGCGTTTAGTTGAAGAGAGTCTCAAGCAAGATGTTACCTCCAGTGAAAACAGAGAGAGACAGTAACTCCTGTTTGCTGTGTTAAGAGGCTGGATGCCGCGCATTAAACTAGTCACTTTACCTTCAATTATGTTCAATAATTGTTAAAATGACTAAAAATTGAATATTAAACTTTAAAATTATTGAATAGTATAAACTTCTTGATATTTACTAAAATAGTAAGGAATTTAAGCCCTAGATCTGATTAATGTATTGGCGGACTGATACTAAAGCTGGTTGCCTGGTCAGTGCAAGCGAAAACATGTTGAGGTCGGTTACGTAAGAACTTCGTTAATCGAATTTTTTTCGTTAACGGAATTGAAGATCCTTATGGAAGGCAGTTCGTTAATCGAAATTTCGTTAACCGAGGTGTTCGTTAAACGAGGGGTCACTGTATATGCAAAAAGGAAACAATCATATAGACACACTAGCTTGTAGGCAGACACTTTGGTATATAATTGAGTGATTTTTGGGTCTTGCATACCTCTCTGCTAGACCACACAAAGAGGTTTTTTTTTTGTTGGTTTTCTCATATACTGTATTGTACTACATATAGTGTAGAATAAATGTGGAAAAAAAACGTAAGAGGAAGAGGGTCCGACTAATTCCCCAAATGTACCCAAATGTAGCCAAATATAGCCGGAATGAAGTCAAATAATGGTCCTAGATGAATAAATCGGACTGCCAATCACTTTTCGACTAGTATTTGGTGTCAGAAAGTCACAAAAAATTGGTAAACTTAATTTAATCTGAGTTAATAGATCGAGTGCATGTACCTAACCTAACCTAACCTCGACTAGTATTTGGTGTCACGAAGTCACAAAAAATTGGTAAACTTAATTTAATCTGAGTTAATAGATCAAGTGCATGTACCTAACCTAACCTAACCTAACCTAACCTAACCTAACCTAACCTAACCTAACCTAACCTAACCTAACCTAACCTAACCTAACCTAACCTAACCTAACACAACACAACACAACTCAGATTAAATTAAGTTTACCAATTTTTTTTGACTTTATGACACCAAATAATAATCGAGAAGTGATTCACAGCCCGAATTACGCTTGTACGACCATCATTTGACTTCATTCCGGCTATATTTGGCTACATTTGGGTAATTAGTCGGACCGAGAGGAAGAGGGTTATCGGTTCGGTTAATATAGTGAATTTTATGATTTTAAGTTTGTAATCAGTAATTTTTGCAATTTTATGATTTTTCTAATATAGCGTTTCCGTCGGAAATGTATATTTTTCGAGATTTTAACAGATAAAATTACCAACAACATTACTTGGCAATTTTATCTATTAAAATACTCGAAAAATAAAAAAAATCCGAAGGAAAAGCTGTAGAAGAAAGTGTCTTAGAATTGTCTTTAAGCTATACTTATTCCAATAGTATTTCTAGGATTCGCTACATAACTGAAACGATAATTTTACCTTTGTATTTATAGGCTTATACCTGTATAACTGGGTAGCTACACGCTTCTGTATTTGTAGCAACAAAATATATATAATTGTCCGGCTCAGGTGTTTCAAGGTGATAAGGATGATGACCACACACACACACCTCCACCGACCTTCCCAGTAACAGGCATAGCCACCTACCTAATCGCCCCTTTCCTAAAATAAATTAAATAATGTAATTCCATACTTTTAGAAGCTTAATTTAAATTAGATTGGTCTATTTTTTATCCAATAAATTATAAAATGATGCAGCAGGTGCTAGACGTGTTCGCTGAATGACTGTTTATTTATATATTTATCATTTCCACCACATGTCGTGTAGTTTGAACCATTTGTTATAAGCTTGTATCTATACATGTGTGTGTGTTTATACGCCTTGGGGCCAAGTTTGTGTTTCATCAAAAGCGGTAAGCTACAATATGTCTGCCAGTACGTAGGTAACTTACTTATAGTTGTTTTCCAGTGCAGGATGCTGTGTTTGAGTCGTTCAGGCCTGTGTGACTCGTGTGTAGGTGAGTAAAATAAATTTTAAGTTTCGGTTATCCCTGTATTTAGATATCCAAACTAACCTAACCTAATGTAACCTAACTGATTCCCTGGAAGACCGAAACTAAATAATACTCAGTCGAGTGTCCTTACTTGGAGCTGGCGGACGCTCGCCCCACAAGGGGTCACAGCTCAAGATTGAAGAAGCCGCAAGTCCAGAAAACCGTGAGGGCAAACTTTTTCGGAGTGAGGGTTGTAAACTCTTGGAACAATCTACCAGAGAGTGTTGTGACGGCACCGAGTGTGAGCTCTTTCAAGACAAGACTTGACCAACACTGGAGCAGGTTCAGGTACATTCAGGAGCCGGTGCATGCCCAGTACTTGTCAACAGTGTGTAACAGAGACGTGACCGATCGCCCGGGCGGCTAGCGAGCCGATCAGTGGTGAAGAATATAAAAGTAAAAAAGTAAAAAGTAGATGTATTTGTGTGGCTATGTATGCAAGCTGATAAGGGGTAAAATTATATATATATAAGTTTAAAACATTGTAGATAAAATTTGGTTAACTGACCAGCTTTTATTCGTTTCAGCATATGACCTGAACTTTGGTTTTATTTTTTCTGATACATTTTACTGTGTTTTGTACGATTCTGATCTTCATTTCTTCTGCAAATGAACGGTTATGGAGATATGACCCTGTAGGGATATTTGAAAGTCAGGCCATCTTGCCATGTGCTAAAACGAATATTAACGCTTATTTCCTTTGATTATAATCTTTGTTATCAAGAATTCTTCGAAACATTGTAATATATCTACCTGTGAATTATTGGAGGTGAACTTTTCGATCACAACCTTCAGCAGTCACCACAGTCGTCAGATTACACAGATCACTCATGTGAAAAGGACCTACTGTAGGTGTGTACGTTGACAATGAGCTGAAGTTCTCGGGCCATTGCGAGAAGAAGGCAAATCAGGCAACTAAATTATTAGGTCTTTCAAGAAGGTCGTTCAGATATCTGGACAGTCCGTCCCTCGTAACGATCTTCAAGAGTGAAGTGCTTCCCCGTCTGGAGTACTGTCACCCCGTCTGGTCCCCGATATATGCTAGGGACTGTCAGTTACTTGAAAATGTCCAAAGTAGGGCTGCAATCCTACTGTAGTGGATTCCTTCCCTACAAACGCTGTTTGTCGCTGAGTAGCCGACCCCGCGAATTCCCCAGTGTATGCCTCGTGGTCTAGGTCAACCAGCGCCGCCTTACATGACGGAGGTCAACTATTAAGCCACGCCTACCTCCGCTATATAAGACCTGACCTCGTGGTGACCTACCTCTCTTTCTACCTACAGCCAGTCTTCAAGTAACACCACCTCCTCCGCTCTTGCCTGGCGGCCCTCGCTCCCGCCGGCGAGCATGGCGACCCACAAGCTGGTCCTCCTCTGAGCACCCTCACCAACCAGCTCTCTCTACATCACGCTTGTAACCACGCTGCCTCTTCCCAGCACCAAGCTGCATTGTACAATGTACTTCCAATATAACATGTATACATTGTGAGTTTCCTTTCTCCAATCCATGCTGAGTGTGAACCAATGTCTATAACCCCACAAATGGTGACCCCCGGAGATTTGCACTCACACAGGATGGAGGAGAAACCGATCACTCTCCCAGTCTTCAAGCAACATGGAAGACTGGCTTATCCACACAGAGGCAGCTCTCATCGGCTCCACAGCTATTGTCTCTACACTGCAGGTTAGACACCCTAGAGCAGCTCTGCTACTCTAAGCAGACAGCTGCTCCTCTTCCTGCCCCAAGCACCACGTCCTACCGACCCCAGCACACCCGTCCTGCCTCAGACGCCGGCCCCGGCCCAGCAGTACCCCCTGCCACTGCCCTGGACCCTCCTCCTGACGCGGACCATCCTCCGCTCCTGCCTGGCAGCCCCTGCTCCCGACGCGGCCCATGCGCCTGAGTGCGGCCCCACAAACCCTTTTTTTTTCCCCTCAGGTACTCCTTGCTGCTGTCATAGACCCTCTTCCTGACGCAGCCCCTGCTCCTGACCCAGACCCACACACCCCAGCAGGCGGATCTGAGGACTCTGTACCTGTCGCGAGGGAAGCACAACATTCATCGCCTCCACAACACTCCTTCTCCCTCTCTCCTCCCACAGATCTCGTGTATCTAGACAAAGTTGTCTCCACTAGCGGCCAGCTCATCCACGCCCTCGCCGTTATGTCTCACATGTGGCATGCACCGCCCGTTCTGCCTCACATGTGCCATGCAACCCTGCAGACAACAAGTCTCCTACACCGCCTGGAGGGAAGGAGGAGTATTGTAGTGGATTCCTCCACTACAAACGCTGTTTGTCGCTGAGTAGCCGACCCCGCGAATTCCCCAGTGTATGCCTCGTGGTCTAGGTCAACCAGCGCCGCCTTACATGACGGAGGTCAACTATTAAGCCACGCCTACCTCCGCTATATAAGACCTGACCTCGTGGTGACCTACCTCTCTTTCTACCTACAGCCAGTCTTCAAGTAACACCACCTCCTCCGCTCTTGCCTGGCGGCCCTCGCTCCCGCCGGCGAGCATGGCGACCCACAAGCTGGTCCTCCTCTGAGCACCCTCACCAACCAGCTCTCTCTACATCACGCTTGTAACCACGCTGCCTCTTCCCAGCACCAAGCTGCATTGTACAATGTACTTCCAATATAACATGTATACATTGTGAGTTTCCTTTCTCCAATCCATGCTGAGTGTGAACCAATGTCTATAACCCCACAAATGGTGACCCC